TTTTATTTAAATAACTTTATTGATCAAAAGAAAATATGGCGTGAAAGGCGGACTTAATGCTAGTAGCATTCTCTACCAGTCAACCTTTGGGATGAACATTGTATCACGAACGCGGTACTTCATTATTGAGAATTCGTTATCTATCCACTTACTAGCTTTTACCAGCGACTTCGTCCGCGTGATCGAGTTATGTTAATTAACCAAGATAAATAGGAGCCTATGTCCTTCTCCACCTCAAATAGTACGTATACTAATTTTAACATTTGACGATTAGTTGAACAAACAAACTCACATTCATATTTATTTATAATTTAGTAAAAAAATACTAAATTATATATTTAGTTTTTTATTATAATAAATTTACAGGGTACAAATGCATAACACTTTAGTCCTCAGAGGAATAGCAACGCATGAGAGGTATTATGAGCGAAGCAGTATACTCTGTTATGTTCATGGTGGCGATTATGTAAATAGGCGACGGTTACCGCTTTCCATCAGATGGGCCGTCAGCTTGTTTGTCATTCTAAGTTACATAAAAAAAAAGTAAACCCCTATCTGCCAGTTCTATGCATGTGCTATTATCGGCGTACACTGGCGAGGCAACGGTAAAGAATGATAAGTAAGTATCAAGTAGATCAGTAAACCCAACATAACGAATTGTACAATAACTAAACCCTATTACTAATAACCCTTCTCCCTTTATCTACCATGACCTATCATCACCTAGGGGATACAAACCTTCTCGTCCCTAGCATATAAATGTATTAATTGTCTTACAAACTGAATTTAAGAACAAATAAATAAATAAAATAAAAAGCATGAATATCAAACAAGGGAAACTGGAAATATCTTTGCCCGTTCTTAATAAATGTGAAAGATAATTTGTTTCTTATATTATATCTTAGCGCCTTAACCAGTCACTATGAAATTTTATATTATAGTATTATATGACATGGTAAAGGACATAAGCTACTTTTTATCCAGATCAGTCAACATATTCCCGACATGCGGACGAAGTCGCGGAAAAAGCTAAAGCATTATTTGTTTTGATGGATAAACTCAAGAAATACGTACGGATTTATAATTCTTTTTTTTTAATACAGAAAGGTGCATTATCGTGATAGTTAAATAAAAAAAAATGAAGCGGGTTACTAGTAAGTATAAACATTGCCATCATATATAATACCATGAACAATTTTTTGACCATCAGCGGAATTTTTTGGCTGACATGGCCAAGACGTGAGCAGATTTTTAATATGCAAATAATAAAACCGATAGCGGTGACGTTACATTTGGCCGAAGACACCAGGCACCGTTCCAATAAGTTTATGGAGTCCAGAAGTTGATAAGTAGCAGATAAGATCTGAAACGTATAGGACTTACATCACACGGTACCGCTCCGCTGTGTTATGTTGGCAATATAAAAATTTTTTTTAGTATATTGGCTACTTTTATGTGTGCTCTCCTAAGAACAAGGAATTACATAGAACAAATGATAAAATATAAACTGTAATTTTACAGTTTTTATTTTATCATTCTTTATATGTAATTCCTTGTTCTTAGCTCCTTAGATGTTCTTTCTCTCATTCTCTATTTGGAAATGAAGTCGTTCTTATTTATTTATTTTTTTCATTTTATAAAAAGAAACCATAAAGATATTGTAAGTGTTTAAACATTGTGTTTTCCTGCGATCCACAACAAACCAACCAACACGCTGTACCTGAATAATCGTTAAGTATGTTCTTACTTTTTACGATTTGGATGGCAAACAAACTGACGAACTACCTATGATAACTAATAATACCATAACATCTCATTAAAGTCCTATAATTGTGCACGGTTCTCTCACTTTGATTAAAGAAGGATATTTTTTTATAATGGGTGAAAATTAAATGTTAAGCCCACTTGTCGGTATCCTATGCTGGCGAACACCAATGTCAATAGGGGATGACAGGCGAGTATGAAAGCAGGTCAGTTGTTCCATCACGACGAATTTAACAAGAATTAATCACGACGGTTTCCAAATGGAACCACGTAGAGATCCACCTGATAGGTTGTATTGCTAGCAATGAAACCGTTACACCTCGTTACTAACAATACCTTAACACTAAAATTACAACAGAAAAGTATATATATAACAAATATGTACACAAATAAATTCTCACCATTTATTGTCATCCAAACAATTAACATTTCTTGTTTTTATTTTTTAATCGTGTAGGTAGCCCTCAAGCATTGAATATCTAACAAGTGTGTAGAAAATAGAATTGCCTTATTGTGTATCATTTTCTGTAGGGGCGAACTGTCAAAGGGCGAACATTAATAATGTTCGCGTTACGTGCCAGTGTGACAGCGTCCGTCGGCGTCGCGACGTCGCCTCAGGTGAACTGTGCCTGGCGCCGGCGCCGCATTCTTTCATAAACACTCCGCCTAGCACCGCGTTATTTAGAAAACATTAATTATACAACACATACTTTACGGTAATAGCCGAATCGTAAACGTGCAATACATTGACAATAGCGTTACGCGCGTGACGTCGGCGGCGTCGCGACGTCGCCTCAGGTGGCGCTCGGCGCCGACCGCGCCGCGTACATTTGTAAACATCCTTCCACTATTATTTCGGGCTAACTCCAAACTTTACGTTCTGCGTATATTTTGCAAATGTTTGGAAATTTAGGTAATTGTGTCAACTAATACCTATTTACAAAGTTGACTTCAAGCGGTCCTTTTACTCGCGGCCCGTCTCGAATTCAGTTTTATTGAAAATAAAATACAACCCAACATGGGCATTATACATACTCGTGTATAATGTAACTTTCTATATGTGAAAGAATTGTTTAAAATCACAAACAAAAAATCAAGTCTTTCCTCTTTCCACATGTTTACCAATATACCGGGTGAAATTAAGACATTAGTATCTTCTAAAGAAGTATCCTATCAAGAAACAGAATATTTTTTCCAAAGAAACATCGTTGAAAAACAGGAAAAACATTTTAAACCCTAACATATATACCTCTTTACCTATTATAAAAAATACTATCAGTATTCTAATATTGTATTAGTAAAGCACAAACTGAATAAGAATTATCTAATAATAATAATGAAGTGACTCACGATAGTTTATTATTAAAGTTTTTTTTTTTTATACAACTTAGAATGGCAAATAAGCTTGATGACAGGCCACGGCCCACCTGATGGAAAGCGCTAACCAGCGCCTATAAACATACTGTTTCGCCCATGACACCCCCCATGCGTTGCCATTCCTGAGGACTCGGGTATTATTCCTCTGTACCCTGTAAATCACTGCCATATCCCACCCTTCAAACCGAAACACAACCATGCAAACACAACTGCTTTACGGTAGAAAATCCAATGGGACGGAGGTGCCCAAGCAAATGACTTTTGTGCAGTCTGCTTGGTAAAGTTATTTATTAATATCATCTGTTTCAAAAGTTAACGACGTCACAATAATGTTATTAAGTAAGTAGTACCTAATATGATTTCTTATCTCAATCTTACTAATAAAATTGTAACTGAACAATATCTTTAAGTATCTGGGAGATATTTGAGAAAAAATGAATATACATACATACATATCTGTCACGCCTGTCTCCTATTAGGGTAGGCAGAAACAATGGAACGCCAAAATACTTCAATTCAAATAAACCTCTTTGAAAAATTTATATAAGGATTTTCATTAGGAGGTAATGTAGTAAAAGCCAAAGCAATGACTTTTAGAATTATGTCCATCTGTAACATGTTTGTTTCGGCATCACGCAAAAACTACTACCTCAAATGGAATATGATTTTATGATTATCGTAGTTTTCATTATTTTGCCAGCCCTGCCACCCTATTGTTACGCCACTGGTTGTATTGAAGTTCTAACTTAAAAACTGGTGTACTTTTTATCTTGATACATCATTTAGGACTATGCTCGGAGTTTCTTTGCGTGATAGAATCCGAAACGAGGGTATCCGCAAAAGACCCAAAATAACCGACATAGCCCGAAGAATAAGCAAGCTGAAGAGGCAATAGGCTGGTCACATAGCTCGAAGAACCGACAACCGATGGGAAGGGTTGAATGGCAACCGCGTACGGGCAAACGCAGTGTGGGACGACCCCTCCCTCACTAGATGGAGTGACGATCTGAAATGCATTGCAGGGAATCAGTGGATGCAGGTGGCTCAGGGCCGTTCTTTATGGCAGTCTATGGGAGAGGCTTTTGTCTAGCAGTGAACAGATAATGGCTGAAATGATGATGATGATGAGGACATCATCTAGAAATGGTTACCTACCTCCGATTTGAACACATACGGAGTGTAGCGAAAAAGTTAGTTGTATATTACATAATGGATTCTTACTATCAAGGGAACCGTGTATGGGTCACTTTCCTTTATAGTGGGACCGCTATGTTATAATTATTTACCTTTTATGTTCTCGATTATAGTCCCGCTGTTATTAATTTGTTTTGTGATCGACGTCTACCGTCGTCATTTAAAAATTTTTTTTGTATATGTATTAATTTTAATACGGTTTGACATGTATTTATTTTAGTATGGCCAAACGCAATGTACGACGACCACCCACTAGATGGAGTGATGACCTCAAATGCGTTGCAGGAAGTCAGTGGATGCAGGTGGCTCAGGACCGTTCTTTGAGACACTATAGGGGAAGCCTATGTTCAGCAGTCAGATGATGATGATTTATTTTAATGTGGGTACATCAAATTATGGGTCTCGACCCATACGACTTTTTGCTTATCTATCGAGATAGATAAGCAAAGATGTAGATCTTTGCCCACCTATCGAGACTACAACCACACAGTAGGTGCCTACTGATTACCAGCGTCACCAAAGCCGCCCCGGGTAATGATAGCCCATGGAAAGGATTTTTACTAGACATATTTAAAAGGGACTAACCAGTTCGAAAGAGCGTAGTCCAAGAGGTTTTGGAAGGAGGTAGTTTACACAAATACAAGAAGTTTATACAAAAAACAAAGTTAGCAAAAAATAATTTATATTTCATTTAAAACTATAATATAAATTACAACATCAACGATCCAAATATTGGAAATGCATTATTTTTTCTTAATTTATACCTAAATCTGTTTAATAAGCCAGTAGCCGCCACTGCGCCGGTTATCCGACTCGATGCAAATACACTATTCAATTGAGTCCTTTCCGAGTACGACCGATCGACACGTTTAGGTAATTCTAAAGATCTACAATTCTTGATTTTTATTCTAATACACTTATCACTAGAGAATTTCGTCTCTTCGAACACAGTGTTGCGGTGGATACTGTTCTTATGTATACTGTTATGTATATTAACAGGGATCAGTCTCAATTTCGGCCGTCGCATCGAAGGCCTCAGTGGCATATAGTGCTCTTCTTCCGATGTTCTCTCTGCATTCGCCTCGTTATTTGTATCTTTTTCTGCAACAAAAATTAATTAATAATACAGATGTGATGTACTCAATAAAACTGTGACTACAAACGCCACTCCTCTGGGTGACGTTCGGACGGATGGCCGTGCGAGTCGCTTTTTTTTTATACAACTTAGAATGGCAAACAAGCTGACGGCCCACCTAATGGAAAGTGGTAACCGTCGCCTATAGACATGAGCAGTACCATGGACATAACAGAGTATACTGTTTCGCCCATGACACCCCCCGTTCCTGTGGACTCAGATGTTATTTGTGACATTTTATCGTTATTTTGAATACAATTGATTTATTTTTTATTATTACTACTACTTTTATTATTATTATATAAGGTTAATATATAACAATCCTTTTTTTAATGAACTAACGATCTAGCCCATCTTCAAATACGTACTTGAAATTTTTTAAAATAATATAAAGTCAAGCTCGCGCTATAATAAGGATCACTAGTTGATCCTGAAACTAGTCGAGATTTCTCGATCTAATTACACAAAAATTAAATCGGTAGTTATTACATTAAAATATGAATTACATTTTTAATTTCTTTAAGAGAAAAATATTATAAATTTCAAATGGTCCATAGAACAATAAATTCGTGGAAATAACGATTTAAAACATTAAATTAAGAGATAGATTTAGGCGTCTCAGAATCAGCCCGAATGTAGCTTTCCATAGCTAAAAGAATTTTTATAATCGGTTGACACTTTTGCAGTTTATTCCTTACAAACAAACAAACAAATCTTTCCTCATAATACAGATGAAAACTTCTGGACGGATTGGTAACCCAGCTTGCGAAATATAGTGTGGGATGATAGGCAAGGATAAAGTCAGGTGAGTTGGCTCGTTGTGATGTTTTCTATAATACTAATAACTAAACATTATGGTTTCCAGGAACTGCGTGGAAATCAACCTGATGGGGTATATTGCTGGTAGTAAGCCTTCTAGCCCCCGGAACGGGGGAGTTTATTCCAATGTTAGTTTAGAGACATACAATGCCATCTAAAACAGTAATATTGGCATCGCTAAGTACCGTTATATATATAAAAATAAAATTAAAAATAAAATAAAAAAAAAAGAATAAATTAGTAATGAAGAGGTCCTACTTAGGGTTAAGGAAACTTATGAACATTATAATAGAAGATAGAAGGAAGGAGAGAAAGGGGGAGAACAAGGCATAGTTACATCAGGCAAATCAAGGAAAACGTTGGTGTCGTGGGATGACGAGATACGGTGAAAAGACTCGCTGAAAGTCGTAGTGAGTTGCCACTCAACTAGAGTAGAGAGCTCCACCAACAAGAGTACAACTCCTAAATAGGAATGAATAAAAGGGAAGAAATTTTGTATAGTGAACAAACGAACGGATTTTCATCTAAAGAATCCGAATTTTTTTATAAAAAACAATATTATTATTAAAACAATAAAGTGCAAAATAGCAAACTTACCTGTAACCGGGAACAAGGTACGCCGCGGCATTATAGAATCGCCTAAAATCTCATACAGAGTATAGTCAGTCACAACGTAATCTTCTAAATAGGTGGTCGGTTCAGATCTAAGTAGACAGGTGGAAGCGTCCTGAAAAAGTTACGCAGTTATTAAAGTATACATTTGTAATTCTCGTTTCAACTATAATTTTTAAGTAATTATTAAAAAAATTAAAATAACCTCAATTATAATTCAATACTTACAAGTATACTCTCCCTTAGGTCGGGCTGCGCGCGATTCCTTCTAGGTGCGTGAATACAATCATCTATATACTCCAGATGATCACCGAGACATTCAATAAGCGACCGTCGGCCTAACGCCATAACGCACTTAATCATTGGCGCGGTCAGTCGTTCCTTGGTCCCTTGCGATAAGTAGTCGAAGAGGATTCCTTTGCCTGCATAAAAAAAATATACAAATAATACATTTATATTTTTATGTTCCATATTCAAAATTATTCCATTTCTGTGTTATTTCACGTAATTGTATCCAAGCCAGTAATACCAGAAAAAATATTAAAACGATAAAAATGTGTTAATACGTACGTATTAATGCATTAATACGTACGTATTAATGGTATTGTCTAGCAAGAGTTTAACTCTACAGTCATTACATTTGTGTTTTGTTTAAGTACAAAAAAATAGTCACAGTATGTGCTCTTGATAGACACCAGCCCTGCTAAGTAACAAACGAATCTATCAGTACATATGTTTTAAAAAATGTAACATTTATTTTGAAATAAATTATTATTATTAAATAAGAAAGAACAAGGAGTCTGTTGAAGAGGATGTTGTTGTCTCTTTCTATCCCATGTATACGGTAGTGATAACGTGTCTATTGACAAATTTATTTGATATTTGTCTAAAAGGGAAATTATATATGTATATCTGGAAACAAATGAGAAGAAACAATTTCACTCATCCCATGTTTGAATAAAGCATGTAGAAACTAAGCGCTTAGGGTAAATAGATGGAAAATACATTATTTTGTATTCACAAAAATTAAATTAATAATATAACATATACCATAACGTAAGTGTTGGACGACCCCCCCCCCCCCCCACTAGATAGAGTGACAACCTCAAATGCATTGCAGGGAGTCAGTAAATGTAGGTGGCACAGGAGCGATCCTTATGGCAGCCTATAGGGAAGGCCTATGTTCAGCAGTGGGCAGATAATGACTGAGATGATGATGATTATATAAAATTAAGTACCAATAGCTATAAACGATGGCCATGTCCGTGTGATTTTTGTCAATATTGCGACCATTTTTTCAGCCAATGAACCATTGCCTAATATATTTGATACCATAACTGGAAAAAGCCGTTGGAACTGTAAAACAATAAAACTATTATTAAATATTTACAATGCATAGATCAACATACTGTAAAAGCTGTAAGATGTATAATAAATTATATGAAACCACTTGACCTAGAACATGAAATTTCAGTACCAAAAAATTATCAAAATAAGAGAGAGCCAAACATTTATTTATGACTAGCTTTTTATTAAATTTATTTTACTGTTTTTTTTTTCTATGATACTATGTTATAATACAGAAAAATAATGATATTTTATAGTAAAATAATAGAAAATCCCAATTAACAGCAATATAATATTCGTACTAAAATCCTACCGCAACGCGCGGGATCAACCGTGTAAGATCAACACCACAAGCGTACAAAAACTGCCTACGAAGAAGCATTGTAGGTATCCCGCGTCTTGTGGTTCGTAAAATTTCAAATACATTGCGCGGCGTCAACTCTAGGAATGGTTATTTATGTTACATATTTTTCATCACATCTGCCCTTCATACGCTTTCTATTTTTACCTAATGATTATCTGGTAGACAATGCCATATGGCATTAAGCTCGCCACTTGTACAGTTTTATTATGCAATAAAGATTAAAATAAATAAATAATATTATAGTAATACTTGCCTGTTGTTGTATATTCGTATTTAAACTACAAGGATTTGAGCAGAGAGCGTCAACCATGTCCAAAACGTTCGACTGTAAAGGCTTCTTGGCTGGCACGTGTAGCGCGTTCAGGTTATCATCATTCAATACTAGCACGGCCAAATTGAACAGGTTCGGAAATATAGGCCCTATGCGAGTGTTTGTCGTCAGATCTTCTACCGCCACCTCTTTTGGCTTCTTCTTAAGGTTCAATATTGCTGAAATTTTGAATATATAAAGTAATTAAAAAAAAAGCTGACGATGTAACACACCGAATCTTATTGGTGGTTGCGAATTTAACATTCAAACATTTATATTAATGAGTATTTATCTATTTTTTAAACCACTAATGTAGTAAACAACCATATGGGTCGACTGAATGTAAACGTATTTCCTTAAAACCTTAATCATATTGTAAACACTTTAAAGAGATAAATTGATCTAACCTTTCTGAAACAACAAGATGCATTGGCATACTTAAGATTATTTTTAAGGGGACCCGACCCCTTAAAATGGCACATATTTATTCTCTGACATGCCTTTGCCAAGCTCCTATCGCATCTTGGGGTAGGCACTCACTCCCCCCCCCCTCTCCTCTACGCTAAATAAGCCTATGATAATAATGGGCAAAGATTTTCACTTTCTATCAGATGGACCATCTACTTTTTACCAATACAAGTTGAATAAAGGAACATAAATAAAAATTTTACATTTAAATTTTGTACTTTTATGTATATATTTTATGTTATTTTATTTCACTTGAATTGTTCAATAGTCATTGTATATTTTTATGTTTCTGATGCAATAAAGAGTTAATAAACTAATTAATTAAAATTGTAAAAAGAACACGCTACATTGCCAGGAATGTGATCAAACATGTGATCACATAAAATCTGCTCAGTAAAAAAAACCTTATAAACAATACAATAAAGTCTAGAAAAGGTTAACAACTTAAACCATCTTAAATCTTACCTCTGGCAACTTTTGTGTAGTAGTTTTGTAAGTTGACGCTTATGTTATTAGTGCTGTTTAAACTTTTGTCATCTGTTATCCACTCTACTGACACTGTGGGCAATGTTGCGAATGCATACGTCTGGATGGATAAACCGTACTCTGTAACATTCAGTAAACTATCCTGGAAATAGATATATTATAAATATATAAATTAATTTTATAGTGAACTTCTCTATGTATTTCTTACTAGAAGCCCATTACAAGATAATATAATAAATTTAAAGAGAAGAGAGAGGTCTAAATATTGATAACAAGAAAAACAACGAGACTCGTTCTGAGGTACCATTCCCTGAACCTTTAAAACAGGTATACTCTAAGATATCTGACATCCAAAATCCGAAATACAAAGCATATTTGTATTACAAACACGTGCTATTTGCGAAATTTATTCTATGGAAAATCGTAAATCACTAGCAGAAAAATTTATAGAAGCAAATATTATCACAGTAGCTTCACAATACATACATATATGCAAACATTTTGTATATTACACAGGAATCTTCAACTGTTTCTCGAAAACAGCTATCTTAATAGTCTTAACACTAGATACAAATACAAACTTGCTAATTGCTTTAAAAAGTTATTATATTAAGTCTTTTACGAATTTATGAGAATGGGCATTAAATGTTGTAATAAGATACCGAAGGCTATTTATTATGTTAATCAATCATGTACGGGGTCTTTTTAAGCTTTTAAACATAGTACATTTAAATAAATGTATGTAAACTTATAATATATGTTAACAGAGATATTAAAAGAGTAACTGTTGAGTTTTTTGCGGGCTCTTCTCAACAAACCTACTAAACCCTGCAGTAGATTAAAAAATAAATGACAATTGAAAAGTGCTTGTAAACAAGTCTATTTGAATAAAGAATATTTTAATTTAGCATTTGATATGTTTTCGAAGCTTTGCTTGCATCATGAGTTACGCACCAGCATATTCTGCGGTGGGTACGGCTCACCCAGCCCCTATCTACGCCTATGAGTATGAAATCAATAAAACTTACAACTTGACAACACAATTTCTCCTCCCCAAATGTTGCATACTGTGAGGTGCCTGTGCCAATAACTGGACTTGTGTCTGATAACATAAGAGCTGTATTCACATCCCAGGAATCGATGCGCAACTTCTTCATCATTTCACTGTGTAAAGCAATTGTCTGGAAACAAATATAAAATTACTAATGATACATATATGGATATGTATCCATCACACCTGTTTCCCATTGAGACAGGCAGAAACAATGATTTGCCAAATCATCATTATCATATCAGCCGTTAACTATCCACTGCTGAACATAAGCCTTCCCCATAAGGGGAGTTTTGGCAATAGTTGCTATGCTTGGCTGGCGAATTGGCAACTGCAGTTAAGCTTTGGAGATGCTTTAAGAGGGACGCTGCAGCCCATCCCTCGCCCTCCCTTAGTCGCCTCTTACGACACCCACGGGATAGGAAATGGTGGTCTATTCTATGCCGGGACTGCATGGCCTTTTGCAAAATGCTTTGATTTAAATATACCTCTTTTGCTTTCTCCATATTCATCAATCTTTGGTCGATATACATACATCTAGTGCGGCCCCTAATGACCATGAAATTCCGAATTTTCAAACAGAATTTCTTGTTTTCTTTCATACCGAAATCACTCAATAAATAGAACTTAACATTTTGTTCATCATAAATCTTGCCATGAAAGTCCAGAGGAACAATTATTTAACATTTTTAATATTCTTAAATGGTATTTATTATGGAATTTATAGAATCAAATGTGTGTAGGCCCTCTGTTTTGTAATTTTTTTTTTCATCCATCCTCTCCAAATCATTATGTTACGAAAATCTTGACAGAAAAGTATGAGAAAGATAGCAATGTAATTACTGTATATGGAAACATAACACCCCAGTTCTCAAGAACAATAACATACATAGATGTCACAGTGTATTCAGTGACGACCATCTGTAGCTTAACACTTTCCATCAAGTAGGATATCAACATATATTAGAAAGTTATAAGTTTTGAAAGGCATATAACTAAACAAAGCCAATTTAGGGTATAAAGTTGGGGACAGGAGTATTTTGCAGTAAGTAGTAGATTATAGATAATGATTTAACACACAGTAGATAGGGGGGAAAGGGATTGTTAGTGATGAAGACTGAGAATCCCATTGCTAGCAATATACCTAACCAGGTCGACCTCCTTGCGGTTCCTCCTGGAAACTATCATGATTAATTCCTGATAAATTCATTATGATGGGCTAACAGGCCTGTTTTCATTCTCATCTATCACCCTTCACTGGTGTTCCACCAGCGTATCCCGTTAGCACAGGCGGGGTTACCATTCCATTTTCACCCATAAAAAAAAACACTGTAGATATTCATTGTTCCCTCTAAAAATCTACATTAGACTAAAAAAAAACAATAATTTTAGAAAAATCTTACTATTACCTAAAGGTTTGTAAAGGTAGTTGTATGTTTGTTACTCAATAATGCTTAAATGGCTGTACAGATTTAAATGAAATTTTATCATATCTTGACTTCACACACAAGATATAAATTTATTATACACTAACTCATACAAACAAAATCATTAGAAACCACTAATAAATCATATAGAGAAAACAATAAGAGGCCTTATGACTAAAGCAATCCTTTCCAGGCTGGCCTTCCACCCCTTTTTAATTATTATATGCAACTCACACTAATGGTCTGGCGCAGTTTGTAGCTAACATCTTCAGCGAGGTTTGTGGCAGCCTCTGCATTGAGTTCAGCCCCCACTTGTTCTGCCATACACAATATAGAGTCTGCACCAACCCCTGCAAATCGGCCTTGAGATGGGCCTGCATCCTGTAAACAAAACCAAGAAATCATAAACATACAGGTAATATTAGAGATGGATCTCTCCAATAAAGTAAACAATAAAAGATAAAAATACATTTAGTGTGAAGTAGATACATACTGGGTATTTTAATTATGTTATAGTTCTAACATGTTTAGCCGAGATTAGTATGCAAATTTATTGTTTAGCAAACTGTAGCTTTACAAAAATAAATATTGCAAATTATATAATGTCAATAATAGTATAATAATAACAAATAATAATATTTAAAAAAATAAATGTCAAAAACTTATTTAAGTATTAGGTAGTTGTAAATGTCAAAAATTTAAATAATATTCAAACAGAGTGTAATAGCTATATAATTATAAGTGTCTTATTAAAATTTGTCATTTAAAAATTCATTAATTTTGTAACAACAAGAGCATAAACAGATATAACAGTAAAGTTACTCCAAAAAGTGATCTCTTACAAATTTTGGTGAAGTTTCCCTTACAATACTTTGTAAAGCTAAAAAGGATCAACAAAGTAAATTTTATAAAATGTTACACACATATAACATTTTATATGTATAAAATTATTTTATACACACAATAACAATAGATTCATATTCCTATACAAAAACTACACAACTGTCGCAAATTAAAAGAAATTAATAGTTATCATAGGAAAGGATAAAAATAATGTTTAATATTGACCATAAATATAAAAATGCATGTAATTCCAAAAATACAAATGGAACAGATAAATGGATACTCTTTATTGTTTCCTCTAAAAGATTACAATAGTATACTTATTATAAATACAAACAATTATAAGAAATGATCACACTGAGAAAACAATGGGCAACCTTATCGCTAAAAGTGATTTCTTCCAGGCAACCTTTGGTTGTAGAGGAGTAGTTATAATTTGATCAGAGGCACAATGCAAACAGTCTTCTTAATTTAAATAAATAATGGATACTGAGCAACTTAATCTTTAGTAAATTATTACGTAGAGCCTTACCTTTAAATGTGAAAAGCTTAGACAGGAAAAAATATGCAATGTATATTTAATGTAGGAAAAAAATTACCTTTATAAAGTTGACTTAATGATTTTGTGTTGAGTTCTATAAATTACCTACATGATATCAACTCACATAGAAGTATGAACCGCCCCTAAGCCTGCTAACCAAAAATCATAGAAATCATAAAATTTTTCATAATGGGCAACTGATCTGCCTTCATTCTCACCTATCATCTCTCACTGGTATCCCATCAGGGTAACATTATATTTTAATCCATTAAAAAGAAGCCTACCCACTGACCTAATTTTAAAGTTACTCTTTCAATAGTGAGTACGGTCAGTTGATGCTTTTATTTGATAATATTTAATTCCCTTACCTTATCATTGAGTGGCGGTGTGTCACACTGGCTGGACCCTCCAGACTCGGAAGCAACAGACTTGTTTCTATCACGCTCTCGAGACGAATTCGACTTTTTATTTTTATTACTCGATGAATTAGACATAACGAGAAACGTGTGACTACAATAACATTTCAAAGGACTAAACAGCAATGCACAAATATTAAATTAAATCTATTATAAAGAAGCAAATATTTTTTCAAACACTGAACAGATATTTTTTGCAAAAAGCACTTTTTTAAGCATTCACCTACGTATAATATATTAAGCTAAAAAAGAACATTAACTTCTTTAATATTAAGTGATTTTTTTGTGTTTATGGGTATTTAAAGAAAGAAAAGCAATTGACGGATAAATTATACAGATTAATGAACTGACCAAATAATAATTTTTAGTGATGTGCCGAGTACTTTACCCCTAATACTAACTCAATGTATTATAATATTCGAATTGGTTTCGAATATCTGTAGTGTTTAAATACTACTCGTGTTTAACATAAGTTTTTCTATTTCTAAACTTTAAATACTTTCCTTAATTTATAAAAAGCATTAATTAGATTACTATGCATATTATATTATCGTCTAAAAGTAAACATAAAAAATCAATAGAAAAAATTCTCAAACACTTATTTAAGTATTCTTTTTGAACGTATACTTAAATTTTTTAATACAAAAACGCACATCACTAATAATCACTACGTGTTTTAAGAGGTAGCACTATTCTTATAAAAGAAAATTGGAAAACATAACTGTGCAACCACTAAGAAGTGTTGCACAGTTTGAAAACATTAAAATCATATTTACTGCGTTATATAATGGTTTATTTAAAATATCAGTATCAGTAGACATCACAAAACACTAACGCCCTTATTCTTAAAAACTAAAATTTCCTACAAACCTGTTTTAACTATTAGAATATTTTGTCACTTTTAAGTCTGAGAATTTAATGTAATAGGCAAAAATAAAACAGTTAAATAATTAAAATAGGTTTATGGAAGATTTAACATTTTTACCAATAAGGGGGAAAGTTAATAGTGTAAATATCTTAAATTAATTTAACTTGTCACATACAGAAATTTTTTTAATGATATGACCCCGGCGTGGTTGTATTTTAAATGTAAAAAGTCAAAATTTTAACGTCAAAACGAATAGCAGTTGTTGCCAGATACGACTTTATTGTCCCCAAGTTTAAACTGATATTTCTCTAAAACAAACTATTATTTATTTAATATATTGTAATATGTTTTTTTTATAACAGAGGCAGGTAAAGAGCATATGGTTCACCTTATGGTAAGTGACTACCGCCGTTCATGAGAACCTGTAACACAGAAGGCATTGCAGGTGTGCTTCCGGTCTTTGAAAAGTATACTCTTTTCTTGAAGGTTATGATGTATCGGTTCGGAAATACTGCTGCTGAAAGCGTGATTCCAAAGCGTGGTTGTGCGTGAAAGAAAGTTCCTTGAAAAACGCATGGATTTGATTGATTGCACTTAGACAATGTAAAATTAGAGGCTATGACGATATAATATACTGAATAAATAAATAAAAAAATGGATATCATAATCGCTTACGGAAAATAAAATTTACTTTTAATAAATATTTTTTCTTTTAGATACTATCATATATACTTTATATTTGATAACGAACTGTCGTATATACTTTATTTTTAATTGTAATAATGTGTACTAAGGGTATAAAAAGTATATGTTCTATGAAACTTGAAATAGCGAACAAGCTGACAAGAATGGAACGATAAACTCTCTGAGTCAATATTTATTTGTTGCTTCTCCTAGTTTCTTTTACTTATTTCTCCAATTTAAGCCCTCGTGTGTTGTTAGAGGATATATGCGAGTCAAGCGGAGGCAAGTTAAAAAGAAGAAAAAAAAATACTTCCATATCTGATGAAGAGCCAGATGCTAAGATGAGTATTAAATTTACTCACTCAAAAAGAGGTCTGTTTAAAGATCAAAATTACCTATATTCTGACACTACTAAAAATGAATATTTTATCCTGTTGTTTCCTATTGAGGGCAACAATGTAAATTTATTGCAAGTCAATTCTATTCTGAGGACTGTACCTGGTGTATTATATATTCGTACTATGGGTCCGCATTCAAAATATGTTTTCGATCAATGAAACAGGCTAACGAATTTTTATTAAATAAAGATTTATTAGAGAAACATAAACTTCAGGCTAGGATACCCAATAATCAGCTGGAATCTCAGGGAGTTATAAGAGCTCCTACTGAAATATCTGAGGAAGATCTTTTAAATAACTTAAAGTCTACTGTAGATATCATCGGTGTTAAACGTTTCAAAAAAAAGAAAGAAGATGGAAGTTTTCATCCTCTTCCTACAGTTTTAGTAACTTTCCTCTCTACGCAGCGACCTGATCACGTAACGTATGATCATATTTGGCTGGATGTGCGTGAATTCATTAGACCTCTACTCCAATGCTTCACTTGTTACAAATTTGGTCATGGAAGCAGTTCCTGCAGAAGAAAGCAAGTTTGTTCCATATGTGCCGGTGCCCATGATTATAGATCCTGTATCAACAAAGAGAATCCTAAATGTGTTAATTGTAATGGACAACATGTAGCAGTATCTAATAGCTGTCCCACTAAATCGATGAAATTGTCTCAAATCAAAGATAAAATTCTAGGCAAAACATCTTATGCATCAGTGACTTCAAAATCGGTTAACTCTGTAATTAATTCAAATACCCCTGTGTCTATTAACAGCTCAACGCAAAATAAATCTCCTCAAAAAAGGGCATTAGTTACTGACATCATTAACTCAGACATTGTACTCAACACAATTACTAAGACTGTTATTGAGCTAGTTAAGAAAGCTCAAACTAATTCTGATACAATTTCATCCAAATTAATTAAGGAAATACTCATATCTAATTTTTCAACATGACCATTACATCTTTAACCCTAGAAAGATACTCTACGTCCGCGAGACGTACGCAGTCGTTAAATATTGTTATTTCTTTTTATCTACAATAAGCAGCGCACTGTCCGTCTCAGTCAACTCAGTTGGCTGTCGGAGCTAACGTTGGATGGTTATGTCGCAGCGGTAAGTGATGTTGGTACCTAGATACAGATATGTCGTACGTCCACGAGACGTATGATTATCTTTTGTGTGACTTTCGCGAGATTGATATTTTTTTTGTTTATATGTTTGAATGTATATTTTTTTATATTTAAGGTACATGTAATATAGCCATAAAATGATTAGTCAGAGAGATATTATTTAATAATATATTATATTATTAAATGAGGAGGAGATTGTGCAATTTTTGATGGGAAATGATGATGATTCTGCCCAAGAAAGTGATAGTGAAGTGGAAAATCAACTGTTCGAACATGATGTTCAAAGTGATACAGAAGACGAGTAGGTCGATGAAGCTGTCAAAGCTACAGATAACCCTTCTAACCAAGTGGAGTCTGTTTAATCGGCATAGTCTACTGTCAATATAATTCTCTCGTTGAACACTCGCATAATTACCCCGCCTCAGCAAACGCTTTGAGGTAAACATAGGTACTGTTGGTCCACTGTCATAGGAATAAGTCACGGAAGGACGTTTTTTTTTAATGGATAATAATGGAATGGTAACCCCGCCTGCGCTAACGGTATACGCTGGCGGGGTAACAGTGAGGGATGATAGGTGAGTATGAAAAAAAGGCAGGTCAGTTAGCCCATCGTGATGAATAAACTTGGAATTCAGCACGATGGTTTCCAGGGGGAACCAAGTGGAGGTCGACCTGCTTGGGTATATTACTAGCAATAGGGCCTTTAGTTTCCATTACTAACAATCCCTTCCCCCCCTACGGAAGGACGTTAGCAATAAATATTATTCGATCAGCTAGGGGACGACTAATAAATGGCCAATGTCGATATTTTATGGCATGCCAAATATATCGTTTGTTAACTCATATGTCATATATTGTCATAATGTACTCATCAAGAATGAAAAGCCATTGAACAGGACAGACTTCATGAAGAAATTGAGCACTGAGCTAATTTCAGCTTAAATGAAAAAAGATTGGAAGTTTCGAACTTGAAAAGGTACTTACGCCACAATATTAAAGAACTGCTACCAGAAAATAGAGTGGATAATAACCCGGAAAGAGAGGAAAAGCCTGCAGCAAAAAAGAAAAGAAATTGTTTGTACTATCCTTCAAGAATATAAAAAAGGTCCAAAATGGAGTGTGTTCTTTGCCAAAAGTCTGTTTGTAGTAATCACAAAAAAGACGTGTGTTATAAATGTACTTAAATTATAAGAGATGGTTGTTCCTGTTATATTAAAGACTGTTTAGCATTTATACCCTCAAAAAGTGCCATTATATTTGTAATTGAAGACTGATAGTCACATAGAAACTTCATATTAAAAAAGTTTAATTATATTTTGTGTACTTTTAAGAGAGTCTTATGTTTATTGTTTTTTCTTTTAATTAATGAATATAATAACTTAATAAATGTTTTATTACTTAGTGCAATACTAATATGTAAGACCCTATAAACAATCAATAAATGCATATATATTAAAATATATGTTAATAACTAGGCGTACGTCTCTGAGACGTATGATTATCTTTACCGCCATACCAAATATGATTATCTTTCTAGGGTTAAAGGAAATTAATATTGTTCATTGGAACTCAAGAAGCTTTCTGTCTAAAATATTTCAATTTAAAAACTTTATTTACAACTTTACATCACATTTTGATATCATTTTACTAAATGAAACTTGGTTTGATTCTAACAAAATCTGTAAATTGTCTGGTTACAATATTGGTTTGAAAAATCTAATGTTTTTCTTGGTAGACAATATTATACTACATTAAGTAGATTGCGGATAGGTCATTGTAAATTTCCTGCACATTTGCGACGTATTAATTTATTGGATAATTCTATCTGTAAATACTGCCAAAACATTTTTTCTCATTTGGATCATATTTTTTTGTTTGTCCTAAATTCTCACTTCAACGGTTACTTTTTTTTTGTCAATGTCAAGATTTATTAAAATGTCAAAATATTCCTACTTCAGTGCAGGATCTACTAAAACATACCATTTTGTATCAAGAAATTTTTAATTATATTACTTCAACAATTGGTGAAATTTAAATATGTAATAGTAACTTATACTTTTCTACTTAACTTACTTTCTTAGTATATTATAATTAATTTATAACTATAATATTTTTTGTAATTTGTCTTGTAATTTTATATTGTTACCTTGTAATTGTTACTTTTTGGCTGATGGCTTTCGTCAAAGTCACAATAAATGAAAAAAAAAAAAAAAAACTCTCTGAGTATAGTCACAGATAATATAATACTATATGATATTATATTATATTGTCTGTGATAGTGATAACCATCGTCTTTAATAATCACAGAATGGAGGGAGGATTGTTAATAAGGGGGTCAAGTAACCCCATTACTAGCATTATACCATCTTAAGTCGACCTCCACGTGTTTCCCCCTGAAAACCATCGTGATTAATTCTAGTTGAATTGGCCAGGATGGGCTAACAGACTAACTTTTATCCTCATCTGTTATCTTTCACTGGTGCCCTTCCAGTGTATACCGACAGTGCAAGCAGGTTTACTATACCATTATCACCTATTAAAAAAATCACAGAATAGGTAGACTGTTCGTCAAATATTTTCCTTCCAAAAGACTAAGATAACACTCTGTAATTTTACTGCATATTTAACCCTTCAAATCGGGGGAAAACAGATTGTTAGTAAATGGATCGACCAGCCCCATTGCTACCAATATATCCCATCAGACTAACCTCCACGCGACTCTCCCTGAAAACCATAGTCGTTAAATCTTCTGGAATTAAACATGATGGGCTTACTGAGCCGCTTTCATCCTCTTGTATCATCTCTCAGTGGTGTTGCCAGCGTATGCCAATAGCGCAGACGGTATTACTACTCCATTCTCACCTATTAAAAAACCCTTCAGCCCGAAACAGCTGCTTAACGACAGAAATCCAAATTGGATAGATGTACTCAACAAACAATTTTTATACATAAATGTGGAAGTATTTCAGTTACTTTGTAAACTCGAAAAACTAACGAATATAATGTAGGTATAGATAACGAAATAAGAATACTGTTTATGTTTCTTACTATACAAATTTATTTAAATCTTCATAAGTAATAATTAAACATATGTATGGTTGCCATAAAAATATAAAACAAACGGTACACGCTTAACTATTATTTATTAAAAACATTTGCATAAAATAAAGACAACTCTGTTTTATTGAGTTTGAGGCACGTTATTATTATTACAATATGTCACTAAGGCATAATCGTAAGTAAATATCTTACTTAAAATCGTGAACAAAATAATGTCAAAAAAAAACATGTGATATTTGTTACTTTTTATTTAATATTATAAAATGTGGCAAGAGTCAAGTGTCACGTGTTATAAAATTATTATATCGTCTTAATTTTATAAGAACAAGGGGTATAGATTGTCAAGTACGTCCGTAAATGGAATGGCGATATATGAAGGAGGAATATAGATAGACTCTGTAACGAGTGTGCAGAATGTACAAGATATATAAGTCAGCGCATTCACTGAGCTGTGTCGAGCACAAAATTGATAAGCTATTTAATAATAATTAGTCCTTAATTTCTTCCTCTATTTAAATCTCTACTAATAATCTACAAACTTACATTGCTTTTGAAAAGTTTTGTCAAGATTTTTAATATCTTTTTAAAGGTTACAAAAAATATAAAAGAAACAATTAGGTAGGTCAACAATTACCAAGTATATTAATGCGGCCATATAAATGCCGGATATATAAGTACTATACGAAATGAAAGCATACGATACACGTGTTTACTACTTCGGATTTTGAATGTTACGTATCAGGTATATATTTTATATGCACATGACCTTGACATCTTGAAGTCTCACAAAATCTTTACACCCAAAAGAGATTAGAGTACAGCGTTTGAAAGCTATCCTTCTAAACTTTTAGGCGCGCATTGCACAATCACTCCCCATTATTAATTTCCATCAATCATGCAGTGTTGCCAGGTCTAATTTGAAAACATTCTAAAAAAATCAGGTAGGTACAGAAAACAAAAATTACATAACATTTCATTGAAAAATAAAATCACACTAGACAATTTATATTGCACATTTTTAATTATGTATAAATATATAAAAATACATATACAGTTTGGAGAATATAAAACAAGATCTGGCAACAATGTTTACGACTTACAAAATGGATAGCAAATCCTATTATCTAATGGACGCCTTACATATACATATTAATGTATGCTTTTTAACGTCAAATGCATACTAAGAATTAAATATGCTGATTGTACTTGGTGCATGTGATAAGTACCATTCTAGGCAACAAAATGAGCATTCTGAAATAAACAAATGACTTGCACCATACATAGGGTTGCCATTTGCAAATCGAAAGATTTAGGAATAACTCAAATTTCCTTATTTCAAAAATCAGGAAACTTGATGGCGAATTTTTACCTTAAAAATACAATAAAATTAAATATACTTACCATGAAAGTAATTAAGAAATTTTATAATCTGGACTATACAAATATCCAGAAAACACCCAATAACTCTCTAAATGTGGATAAATCCAGGGAAACCTGGACAGATGGCAACCCTAGCCTTACAGAAACTTTCATACACTGAGAATTTATTGGCATAACTTTATTCCTCCACAACTAACTATCACTATACATTTACGTTGAGCATTTTAATCATTCCAAGAAGGCCTCTTCGCATTCTAACTTGAAACAATATGAATGTTATCACATTCCAAAGAGAAAGTATAATTGTAAATGGCATACCACAGGCACTGACTTGAATAAAATCAAAATTTATATACATAACAATTACCAATATATTCAGCAGAAGCATAATCAATAAAGTATATACCGTCGAGATTTCCAATCGATCATTATTCCATTTAATCGATCAAAAATAATAAATAATGGACTTAGTCATAGATATAAATATATATATTTCTGCCTAACATTTTATATTTGATTCAATTTAATATTCTTTATTATTTGATAAACATCAATTTTATCCAATATGTGCGGGTATTTAATAAAAGAATAATAGAATATTTCATTAAAGCTAATAAAAGAACAAAAAAAAAAATTTAGTTATGATAGAAAGGCTACAGAAGACTTATTACATTTCAAGAAGTGATTACGAATTTCAGTGTCTAGAATCCAATTAATGAGCCGATTTTAAGAGATTCCAAACTAGAAGATCTCATGCCATTAATAAGTTTATAACCATTGAGTATCTGCGAACATGTTAAATCTTGTATAAAAATAGAAGGAACCATGGAGCCTAGGATGCTGATAAAGTATTTTTTACAAATTTAATGTCAAAAGTGGCCCATTAACTAGAGTTGAGTTACAAGTGACAATTGGTACCAATCTAAATATGTTTACATTACGCAGACTTAATAAAAAACGAGACAACATGACAGTCATCTCATTCATTTTTAAAATATGGGAGATAAACTGATTTTGTTTTTTAGATGTCAAAAATAAACATAACATATCCTTGTTATGGCGTAGCATAAACATATTTATAGATGTTTTTCATTTCCACATATCTACAGGCACTTATATGTTTATAGATTTTTTCTAAAATTAAGAATACCAAATGATCTATATTTCTGCAGTTGAGAATGTCCTCACAGTTAATATATTGGTAGTATAGAAGCGATAGAAGTATAGAACGATACCCAAACCCGAATAAAGAAAGATGTATGTCGTGAGGTCAGTCGGAGTCGCTGCCCGACTCGGAGAGGCAGAGATCATCATTGAGCACGTCGGGTAACGCCTGGTTGCTTACGTTGCCTGCGTCACAATATATCAAATTTAATAACAACATTTTTGTATGCAAATAAAATGTGCAAACAAGCTGATGGATCACCAGATGGAAAATCGTAAAAATGATCTCTAAACATGAATAGCAACATGGATATCAAAAAATGCACTGTGTCACACATGGTACATCTCTCTGATGGTGCTTACCATTGGTATGCGCGTGGTAGGCTCCGGAGTTATCGTCGCTCTCGCTACCGCTGTCGGAGTCACTGTCGCTGTTACTGGACGAACTCGACGAGCTATCCTCTTGCTGTGCCTGCATAAGAAAGAGAATTCATCAATCGACTAATCAATTTCACTTAAATTCAGCACTTCACTTTCATTGAAGGGAATACTAATTGTCATTCATTAATTCAATCGACAATATTTTTTCTTTTGAAAATTGGAAAGTGGTAGGGAAAATGTAAAAGGCCAATTTTTTTTATAATAACCGTAGACGGTCTGCCATATAAAGTTATTAGTACATTACTGCAGCGGCCAGCAACAGGCATTGATGGACGAACGTGAAAATGTGGGCCCAGGCGTAGCCGAGGCATACATACGTGAGTCCATCAATGCCTAGTCGTGGCCAAGGCTTGTATAGTACTTTTCTCAAACAATGCGCGGAAATCAAAAACACAATTTTACTTTTTAAGTTCAATGACGAATAACGAACAATAATAATTTTTCACGCGCCATAATGATCCTTTGTTTAGCTTTCTATTTGCAAGCCAGTTCGAAATTTAAATAAAACCTTTTATTAGTTACCTCCTTGGTAGCCATGTTTCGAAATAAAAGGTCATTCCATTTTTAAATTACAGGACAGATATGAGTTTACATAGTAATTTATCTGGCCGCAAAACACGACAGATATGGATTTTCATACAACTTTTGCCGGCCGCTGCCCGCATGTATCTGGACAGTACGGCAATTTTGATTTATCTCTAAGAAGATTGTCAAAATAATGCTCACATTTCCAAGCATGTTTGAGAAAATATATATGGCAGTCCAATAGCTTTTACGGTATTAGTAAGGACATGTAACGTACCGCTGAGGGCACATGTTCCGGCGGCGGCGCTCGCTCGTACGCGGGCCGCTCGGGCCGCTCGCTGCGCTCGAGCCGCTCGGGCCGCTCGGGCCGCTCGGGCCGCTCCAGCCGCTCGGGCGCCCGCGCGTACCCGTTGTGCGCGGGCGCAGGACTGTCATCCAAGCCGATCATAGGCAACGACGCTAACGTACTGTTACCACCGCCCGACCACCTATATGTTATATAAGATATAAGTAAAAATTATGTCATAACAGTAAATTATATGTCTATGTAAATATGAACTCACTGTGTTTCTGTCGTTTCCGACAATTTCGGCACTAAACGCCCCCTGAAGAAGACTTCTGGATGAAGTCGAAACAATTGTCGGAAACGACAAAAACACAGTGAGTTTATTAATCTACCTTTAATAGACTTTGAAAATAGTAAATAATATGTTATATTAAAATTGCTTTCTCTATCATAAAAATGGCAGAACATATTATATGGATTTTTTTTATTATAAATAAATAGTTCTGGACATATCATATATAAGCACCTCCTAGTCCTAAAGTAAGCTGAGCGTTTGCTATGGGTACTAAAATATTAATAATTGAACCTTATAGAAATTAGTCTGTTTTCGACAATTGATATATAATTTTGATACTGTCAGACTTTGATACGAATAAACTCTTTTAATGCGATACTGCATTTTAGTTTTTTATTTAGTAATTGAAAATGAATGTTAATCCTGTTTGCACTATCGGTATATACTGGCGAAGCACCAGTGAGAGATGAAAGGTGAGAATGAAAGCAGATCAGCCAGTCTCCCATGAAGAATTCAACAAGAATTAAACACAGTAATTTCCAGAGGAAACCATGTGGATATCAACCTGATAGGGCATATTGCTAGCCATGGGAATTTTAAACTTTATTATTAACAATCCCTCTTCTCCCAATCCAAGTGTTTAAAATGGTCAATTTGATACAAACGATGGAGTTAATAATTAAAAATTGTGCTCTTATTATGTTAAATATTCAAAATTAAATTTAAAATATTTCAATTGACAATTGCATCAGTACTATGAGATTATATATGCTAGACTATGGTATGAATACTCTTAATAAGTTTAGCAGCAGTCTATACTCACGGTGCCTGTGGAGGCGACGTTTTCACTCTAGGTGGTGACCTCACCATGTTCTGAGGGGGTTTCTGCATCGGATTTCCATTGAAACGAGATTGACTGTTGGCTTGTGGAGTGCCAGCAGCGCCTGTGTTGATAAATATATACTTAAATAGTATAATTTGAATGATAAACCTACGACCCATTTGGACAAAATTAGGTTTTTTGTCCTAAAAATACATTCTCATTGTTGCATTTTATATTTTTCTTATTATGTCTGCATACACAGTAATTTATTTTTACCTAAGAAGTATTTTATTATATCAGCCATCTCCTATAGACATAAAAATACCATGAACATAATAAGGTATACTATGTCACCCATGATACCCATCATGAGTTACCTTTCCTAAGGACTTAGGTGTTATACCTCTGTACACTGTAATTTCACTGCTATATTTTACCCTTCAAAATACAGTCATGCTTTACAGCAGAAACACAAATGATCAAGCAAACGGCTTTTGTACTGTCTGTAAATTATTATGTAAGGAACCGCGTGTATGTATACACACGCGGTTCTAATAATTCCATTTGTGTTATAAACAATCTCGAAGTATTTCAACCAAAAAAAAATTATGACCAATATTACAGTGTGCATTTAGGTTTAGTAAGTTTATCTTAAAAATACTAATTTAAACCTTGTTTGTTTTTTTATTTTTGTTTTAAAATAAATTAAATTAAATAAAAAATCACAGTGTAGATATGAGTATGCATAAAGTCTGTATGTGGACCAACCTGCATTAGGGTTAGGATTGGCCCGTCGGTTGGTAGTGACGCGCGTCCGCGACGACGAGCGCTGCGTCGTGTTCGTGAAATCCGCCGTGACAGGCGTCAGCGGCCGCGGTTTCAGTGACGACTCTTGCCTGCGAACCGACCACACGTTCAATTAGTGTTATTTACGCAACTACTATTATGTTCCTTTGAAATATTTTTTAGAATGCTAGGAGACGAAACCATCCATTTATTATACTAGTGATTCGACCCAGCTTTGTATAGATAGATAGACGGATAAATAAAAAGATAAATTGGTACTTTATATTAGTTATAATGGACAAATTTTTGGTATCTTGGATTATTTACATTATTGTAATTTTTTAATGTCTTGCTGATAATAAAACTATCTATAGGTGAAAGAATTTTTAAAATTGGTTAAGCAGTTTTTGTGATTATCAAACAAATAATTAAATCTTTTCTTTTTATTAGTATAAAAGTATAAATTATAATTTAATTGTGATATAATATGAGTTTTTTCCACAATGATTATAACGAATTCAAAACTCCACCATGTGTCAACTATCAACATTGACAATACTAATATTAATTCTCAAATTTATCAAAAGTACTATGTTCAAAATAAACAAATAGCTAAGATGAAAAAGTTTCAATATATTTATATATTATTGTCAAATTTTTAATTGATTTATAATTAATATATAAATGGTTAATTAACTTCGAAAATATCAAGTATGGCAAATATAAAAAACCTACTGCTTTGTTTTTAATAACAGTATTTTTGTATAGATTTTATAATAGTTTACATACAGGAAACCTCAGTAGTTGTAGTTGTAGTTGACTCACCTCGTCTTTTTCACTTGAATATTACTTGACAGCTTCTCGAGGGTCATTTCACCCGTAACTCTGTCTATAATGAGCACACATTCCTTAGTATAAGGCCTTTGACTTCCTTTAAATACAGTCTGAGGAACTCCAGCGCCATCTGGAAGCATATACAACAAATTCTTGGCTCATTTTCTAATTTATCATCTGTGGCAGAAATTTAGAGATGTTGGATTTTATATTAAAAGTATAATGAAAGTAGTAATATAAAGGGTATTATGTCTAAAGATTTTCATGACAAGAGACAACAACACGCGAAAGTTGCTTCTAATATCTGATAAGAGTTCATAATTCATGAGCTGCACTGGGCACTTATAATAATAGCAATACCTAATATAGCGATTGGGGGAAGGAATTCTTAGTAATATGGACTACCATTCTAATTACTAGCAATATACCTTCCCCCGACAGGGAACGTCCGATACAAACACATCTATTTGGCCTAAAGTATGTGTACATTACTCTCCTACAAGTCCTACACCTGTATGTAAGTGAAAGTTCAACTTCAAGGACATTTCATAGAATTTCTTACAACAACAGGTGTGCAAGCGCCAGGTAGGCGGTGAATCACAAAGATTTTCAATAGAAGAAAGAACAATAATCTGTTCTCCTTTAACTAAAGGTTGTCTGTACGAGATTGCCCTAGCGATAAGACCGCCTTTTGTACCTTTATGTGTATATTTCAATCTGTATTTATGTTACTGTGTTTCACTTGAATTATTCACTTGTCATTGTATATTTTTATTTATGGTGCAATAAAGAGTTAAATAAATAAAAAATAAATAATGCATAACGATCCTATTTACTCGGCGGCATCCCAAAGGTTCTCACATGCCGACAAAGGACGGTGTTTACCAAGCATGGCTACAATTCAAGCATTTAATATAAATTTGGTGTATAAAAGGGAACTTATTTCTAAATAAATGTTCAAAATGCAGGGGGATTTACTTCGGGCAACGGCAATACCCTCCCTAACTACATCTGTGCGACTCCCCGATCGCACGGGGACGGGGGTCGCACCCGGCAGGCGAAGACCGCAACCTTCCAAACCACTTGTCTTATTTAAGTACCCAAGTAAATTATAAATACAAGTAAATAATCCAGATCATATAATTCATTGTATAAAAAAAAACGAAATTTGACCTCAAACGGGAGAGAGGGAGTGTCAGGTACAAACATATCTATTTGGCCTAAAATTAATAATACATTATTGTCCTAGAGAGTTGCCCATATGGAAAAACTTAAAGTTACTCAGCGAGCTATGGAAAGAGCTATGCTCGGAGTTTCTTTATGTGACAGAATCCGAAAGGATAAGAAAGCTGAAAAGGCAATGGGCTAGTCACATAACTCTAAGAACCGACAACTGATGGAGAAGAAAGGTTTTGACGACCCCGTACAGGCTAACGCAACATAGAACAGCCCACTAGATGAAGTGACTTCGAATGCATTGCAGAGTCGGTGGATGTAGGTGACTCGGGACTATTCTTTATGGCAGTGTATAGGGAAGGTTTATGTTCAACAGTGGACAGATAACGGCCAATATGATGATGCCGATATGTACATTATTGCGTCAGCATCATCAGAGCCATAACAGAAAACTAACTAGAATATTAAGAAAATTCTAGAATAAGGTTATGTACATGTTAAATGATTTTCTTTTATCAACTAATGAAACCATTATCAAATCATTATATAACAAAAAAAAAATAATGAACTAATTTTAGCACCAAGTAATTAATGGCTATTATTTAATAACAATTTATGAAGTCTAATTTTGGTTACATTGGCACGTGCGAGTAATTCGTTTGTTCATTATACTGTGAAGTAGGTTGTGTTAAGTATGTATAATCGCAGTCCTAATGAAAATGCAAGTAGTCTAATGAACTCACCTAAATGCGGCACAGTGACCGTCACTTGATTATTAGTCCCAACTTCCACCGTCGCCATTTTGTTCACATCTACTGATGCAGGTTTGAAATCATCTGAAACAGAACGCAGTACAAATACAGCAATGTTATAAGGTTGCCTTTAAAATGAAACCTCAATTTAATTAAGACGGCACACATCCTATTACCGTGCCGTGTAGTCCCGGCTTAGAATAAGCCACCCCTTCTTTTACCGTGGATGTTGTAAGAGGCGACTAAGAGAGGGCTAGGGATGGGCAGCAACATCCCTCTTAAAACATCTCTAAAGCCTAATTGCGGTTGACAATCCACCTATCAAGTGTGGCAACTACTGGAAGATGCTTATGTTCAGTAGAGGACAGTTATAGGCGGATATGATGATGATGACACTCTAAGACACGCAATATCTGCATTACATTATCATATCTAAATTACATTAAATTGCAGTAATCCATTTCACTAAATAGAGGATTGCATAATATTGGATATTTTATAAACTTATTGTAAATATTATTTCCGCCGATTGGAGGATTTTTTTATCGTCACACGATTAGTCTTTTTCTGAGTATGAGCAAATATGATGGCAAATGTCGCGTGGAGTCGAGCCTCCTTTGAGAATCTATCTTCATAAAATTCTTTCACTGACCAGGTTACTGAAGTCTGGTATTTTGCGCCTCTTCAACTGTGCCACACAATCTGGTAATGTTAATTGCACAGCAAGTTTATTCGGATGATTATCCAACTTAGCTTTATACTTTTGAGATTCCGTTTTTATACTAAATAATAAATATTTCTTTGCTTTAAACATGGTATACAGTGATGTTATAACATGTTTAACAGAATTGATTTGGAAAATTTCATGAACCTCTGATGTAGATTTTTTAAATTTTATTTATATTAGAAGCACTTGCAAAACCCTTCAATGGGAGTGCATTAATCCATATCAATTTAAGGTTTATATTATATATGAGTACTTACTCGATAAATACATTGTCTGGACTAATAATTAGAGGATTAATATTATTTCATTTATGTCATGGTGTTCTTTAATTTATTGAATGACTAATAGACAAATTTATTTGTATCTCTTACTTAGGTAACAATAACACAAAATAAAAATTATACAAAAAAGAATTAAGATAAGCAAGAAAAGGTCATGTGTGTTAATTGCTGACTTCATTCAGTTACAATTAAAACATGTGTGAAACTATAAAAAATAATTGTCAAGTTAATCTTATTTAATCTGCTATTATTTTAATCAAAGTGTAACCACATAGTCCCTGTTGAGTGTAGAAAGTGCATGGTCAATGAATTGAAACAAAGATTGTAATGTAAATTGGAGTCCAATTTTCGCACTAAGCCTTTCATTTGAGCCGTTGTATATGTGAGTCGTAGCTAATACAGCCTGCCGAGCTATGCTTCAAAACACAGAAGCTTTCTAATATCTTTACAGGGTTTAGGAGCAACCACACTATACCGAGGATTTAAGAATGTTGGGGGGGGGGGGGGGGGCACAGCTATATATTCCAGGATTATCACATTGATTAAACAGTTCCTTTCCCGTGGATGTGGGAAGAGAGGACTTAATTATTTAATGATTAAGGAATGGGCAGCAATTTCCCTCTTGAAATACAACCAAAGCCTAACTGTGGTTGCTAAGCATGGTAACTACTGACAAAAGCCCTATAGGCGAGTCCTATATTCAGCAGTGGACACCTAACAACTGTCATAGACTGAAATTTAGATATTACTTACATTTAATCGTGTGATATTGAGAAGTTTTATTGTTTGTAAAACTTGCTCCCAAATTCAGCTCTCTAACATTGTAGTTTAGGCTATAATTGTCCGCCATTGTGGAATTATGCCATAAGTGAGTGTCTGCTTCCTGAAACCAAAGAATATTCATCAAATTCAAGAGAATTAGATAATAGAAATGTAATGAAAAGATAGTGTAGGAAAGACTAGTGATGCCAAGTGTAGCACATTTGGCATCTTTAAAATCCAATATAACAGGGGATAAGGTATAGCCTATCGAATTGATATTTCCTAAAAATAAATTATAATATATGATCAAACAAAGTCATGTTCTCTTTTCTGAAAGATTTCAACTCAAAACAGTATATCTAATACTTATTAAAATATGAGATATAATAGTTTGTCTCAACTGAATAGCATGATCTTTGAAGGTATAATGCTGACTTTCAGATCACTGGAATTCCCTACTATTTATTAACATTTATAATGATAACAGAGATATATTTTATATATAATAATAATATACCAATAAACAAAAATAAATGAATAACTTAAGGAGCATAGAAAAGACTCTTATTTGATAAATGCTACTTCACAAACTCCCTTCATTTTTGTACAAATGACTAGAATTTATTAATGTACTTCTGTGAAACAAAAAGTATCCAATGATAAAATTGTGATTTTTTAATTTTTGGAAATTAAACTATAAGAGTTCGGGGTTGTGGGGCATACTAAATCTAATACAATATGTATGGCAATCAATTATTTAGAGTTACAAACTGATAACTGAAAATAAAATTACTTTAGCTTTTTAGAATAGGTACTATATCTAGAAAATTAATTATGTTCATTAGTGAATAGCTTTAGAATATTAAAATTAGATAATATATTTGTATCATACATTTAATGATATATGCAATCACAGGTACATTCACTACGTACCGTGATTTGTGGTACAGTACAGCTGACTAGTAATCTAAAATTTTTCATCATATCATTAATTCACATGACAGAATTTAAAAACCCCTCCTGAACTATAAAATACCACAAGAAAATACTACCACAAATGTAAACAGCAATGAATATTCGTTAAAAGAAGTATAAACAGATAAAATATGGCAAATTGTACCGTGGAGAACTTACCGTTCTAGGCTACCCGAGGTTATGTGCAGTTTATCCTTTGCAAAAAATTGGCATCGTTGGAACAACTCTCAATTATGCTCCAACAATAATGATTTCATGGAGAAGAATTACAATATTATTTTAATAATGAAATAAAATTAGAGATCGACCATTTTTTACGACCTAGTTCTCATGACGTTTGACGTACTTAATTGGTCCAATAGAGATGTGCAATGATTGCAATATAACGTACAAATCTATTTAGTGTTGTCCATATAACAGAAAGAGTCGATATTTTAATGTCAACCTAGACATAGTACCTGGAACATACCTACTCACCTAGATACAACTTTTTTTTTATCATTGATCTTTTCCATATTATAAGTATTTATTTTAGAGAATATCTTCTCAGTACCGTAAAAAAGAACAAACGTTTAACGATAATTTTTATTTTTTACGTAAAATATCTCTAGATCTCTAGTCTAAATATAGAAAGAAATTAAAAGTAAGCAGTCGTTGATTATTTATAGCAAAATCTGAACATCCCTATTTATACTGAATCCGGGGTGATCTCCTTATAAATCCTACTATAAAAGTCCAAAGGAATGATATTATAAACAGTACGTATTCATTCGTGTCAGTCAGAGTGACTTATTGTCAACCAGACTATTTATTTTCCATTAGGATAAGTGTCTTATAAAGTTGAGCAGTGTGATTATGGGAGTTACAATGGATGATCTAATGGTTAACTGTCTGCTTTATGCAGACAATCCAGTGTTAGTGGCTCCTTCTGAGATAGATATTAATGTTACTTCAGAGTCGGCAATGCACACCGACCGCCCTAGTGTTGCAGGTATCCGTAAACTACAGTAACCATTTATCATCAGACGTGCTATATACACATATAGTGGTAAAAAAGCATAATCTTGTTTTTTGTATTATAAAAACAATAATTTGCAAATTCAAGTTATTATAATGAAAGATGATCGCATGAACCAAGACTTAGGCTTTAAGGCAAGGATTTGAATTTAAACAAAATTAAAGGAGCAATCTTTGAAAGAGAACATTCCAAACTCATATATCATAAAACATACACTTTTTTTTTTTTTTTTTTTTTTATACAATTTAGAATGGCAAGCAAGCTGACGGCCCACCTGATGGAAAGTGGTAACCGTCGCCTATAGACATGAGTAGTACCATAGATATAACAGAGTATACTGTTTCGCCCATGATACCCCCCATGCGTTGCCATTCCTGAGGACTCAGGTGTTATTCCTCTGTACCCAGTAAATTCACGCCATATCCCACTCTTCAAACCGAAACACAGCTATGCAAATACAACTGCTTCACGGTTGAAACACGAATGAAACACACAAATATAAATATACATACATACTTATACAGTATATACTATAATGGCAATCAACAATGATAGAGTTCAAATGTAATGACGATGAAGATGACGAACTGCTTTCACAGTTCCTTCAAAAGATAATCGTAGATTTTTTCTTAAAAGTAAATGTGTTAGACACTTATCTTACGTCGATGGCTAATGTATTCCAGAGTCATGAGGCTTGAATTGTTGAAGGAATTGGAAAGAAAAGCAGTACGATGTAGAGGAATAGAGAGAACAATAGAGTTTGCTAGAGCAAAGTTCGCGTGTATAAAAATCATAGAGATAGTTAAATGTACATATTGATATTGTAGATTTAGTACAAATAAAATTTAGGTAACATAGAAGTAAAGGATGATAGGTGAGATGAAAGTAGGTTAGTTCGTCTATTATGAAGAACTTATCAAGAATAATCACGATTAAAGATGATTAACAAATTAATTTACGGACAGATAACATAACGATGTTTGACTAAAACACATACATAAAAGGTCCAGTCTCAATATAAAATTTACCGTTCCTATTAACCTCTTACCTATTCCTACTTACAAAGAATAATGTTCTTTCAGTCATATAGACGATCCTATTCTATGGGCTAATGTTTACTATTTCTATTAACTCCATATTGCCATCATTATTACTGAAGTTAAAATATTCTAATTTGATATCAGAAAGTACACAAAATCTCGACTTAATTCAATTAGTGTACTTCCAGAAAGTATTACATATCTTAGTAAAGATTTCTAATAAACATACGTTTAATTTTGTTGATTATACCGTATAAAAATAGTATCAGTGCCAACCTATGAAACTTTACATTATTTTGGTGTGAAAGAATAGGAGATTTATTATTCTACTTTTGCCCAATATTCATATATGAAACCAATAATATTAATTTTCTTTACTCCAAATCCCATTCGTGGTTTCGACTCTATTTATATCCCGATGCCTATTCTCCCCATTTTATTATTTCAATGCCGTCATAATACGAATTGAACAAGATTTATTACAGCATTTGATTGATTATATTAATTGAAACATAGATTAAGAATTTAATAGTATTTATTATATTTTTATGGTTAATTAATAGGAATAGACCAATCTGACCCGTGTTTCTTCAAACAAAAAAAGTGTGTATGAAAATTACTCAATTATTTTAATAATATCATGAAATAATGAATAATAAAATAGCAGAAAAATTAAATGAAATTACTAAAAAATTGAACTATTTATCCATTCCTTTTTTAATATTCTTATTCAATTTATTTTAAACACACCACGTGAATATTATGTTTATCATATGTAACAGGAAATTAACGAACTCACCGTGTTTTCCTTTATCTTCCGGAATCTTCGTTTCTAGCACTTTCTTTAGGGTTTTGCGTCACAGAGTCTCGCCCATAGAACATTGTACCTTACGAGGTCTCGCTTTGCGTTGGGCCACAACTTGCTAGCATAGCTGGTGAGGACGTCGGTACGGGCGGGGCTGGGGCGGAGACAACGGTGACACGAGACAATGGTGTTGTCAGAGATGAGTGTGTATCTCGTGTAGTTATCGTTGACTGTAAAACACTTTTATCTTCGCTGCTGCTGTCTTCTATCTTTAAAAATAACGTGAATATTCATTAATGTTATTGTATAACGATACTTACAGATGGTTGCATAGACTTATTTTCCAATTTCCCGATGTAAAGGTAGTGCCATTTATTCAAATACAAATTTTTTTTTTACTCTGTGGGCGACCGACAGTGACAAACCGAAATTTTACTCTCCTTACTCTGTGCTCAAAATTGAAAGATAATCGTAAACGCAATCTTTGAATGTGTTTCTTTGATGTGTTTACATATTTGTCATTGATTATATTTTAAGAAACAAAAATATTATATTCCCATAGAAACTATATAAACAACATGTCTAAAAAATCAATCACTTTGGATATTGATCCGACGATAATGGAGAGAAATATGAAAATCATTAAAGTAAGTCTTTCAATTACAGTTATGCTTTGAGTAAAGTTTATAAGTTAATTGATAATTCTGAAGATATTCTCTGTAGGTTAGTGGATAAACTTATTCGTTTTCAAATATGTAAATAAAATTTACTATGGGTACATTATATTTAAAAAGTATAAACAAATACAATATTTTTTCCATGGTAGTCACGTCATTTTTTTATTCTTAGTATTATAGGTACCTATTTTTCTTAGGAAAAATAGGTATTGTCAAAAACTAAATAAAGTTGGAGTATGGACATTTTCGTTTAAATTTCATTCCTGCTCATATTGGATGCTGCTTTAGCAAGAGTGTCAATGGGTAACTAGATTTATTAAATTATTATTACCTATCAGGAACTGTCATAATAAAACTTGTATCTTGCAGGACAATCCAGTGGAAGAGGAGTTCAATAAACTGCTAGCTTCTGTAGAAACCACCCCATCAAAGCTTGTTAAACCAAGACCAGGTACTTAATAGTTTAAACATGTCTAATATATGTATGTAGGTACTTGCATATTGTAAACTTGAGAAAAAATAATATTTATAACCAGTTTTCAAAAGTAATAGCTTTTTAGTTCACTTATATATTTTGTGTATATCTTTATGCAATCTGGATCATCTTTTTTGTCATGTTAAATTTGTCATGATTCAAGTGACTGTTTTATGGTTGTAGAGAAAAATCTTAAATAATTCTTTGAGTTTTGAACCACATTTAATATCTGTGAAAATGACAACAAAAACAACAATCTTCACTGTCAACAAAATCAAAATTGGGAAAATGGAATGGTATCCTTACCTGCACTATTGATATACACTGCCAAAGCATCAGTGATGGATGAAAGGCTAGCATGGAAACAGGTCAGTTGGCCCATCATGAAGAATTCAATAAGAGGCAACCACAATGGTTTCCAAGAGGAATCCTGTGGAGGTTGACCTGATATGGTACATTGTTAGTAATGGAGCTATTTGACTCCATTACTAACAATCCTTTCCCCCCCCCCCCCTAATGTATGTTCATACTGTGCAGTAAAGTTTAAATAACTACAACTGATCAAGAAAATAATTGAAATGTTATTCTTATATTTTACAGGGTTTTGTGTGAAAACTTATACAAAGCCAGATAACAAGAAAGTTTTTGTGAATATATGTCTGACAGAAGCAATACCATGTCCTAGGGATATCACAAATAATGAGCTTATGCAAATTCTCAGTTCAGATGATCCATCCAGTTATAGAGTACCTATGAGCCTAGGTGAGGGCAGGACTGAGCAGGACAAATCCGGAGCACCGGCTACAGTTTATGATGTTGCTATAAATCCAGAATTCTTCAAGAAAATAGAAAAGGATGATTTATTCCAAACATTTTTCCTCACTGTCGTTTTTGAAGGATTACAAGATAAATACCAGTTTGAAATAGACATAACTAAATACACTATTTTGAAACACAGGAAATCTATAGGTACTCTGCAATCTCACAGGATTCAGATTAGGGATATCAAAACATGTGAAGAGAAAACAAGATCACCCTTGATAGAGGAAATTCAGGATAAGCCAGCAAAAGTTACTGAAGTGAATGTGACAAAAAAGAAAGAAATAGTTTATAGACTAAGAAGGGAACCACCCACAGGAGAAATAGAATATTTATTAGCAGAATTCAGGATACCAGCTTCTGTATGTTATTTGACATTTTTCTATCTTTATGCCAAGTTTATATGGTAGGCAAAAAAAACTGATTGTCAATTGTCTCTATACTTTTGTACATAGTGCCTTTAACTCAAAAACATAACTTTTCAAATGCATAAATATATCTTATTGGAGAGAAATATTTGTTTGAGAAACTGAATTGTATATAGGGATAAATAGAAACATTGTATGTTTTTTATTTAGCTTAACATAATAATAGCTTAGTCTTCAGGAATAGCAAGGCATGAGTGGTATCATAGGTGATACCATATACTCTGTTATGTCCAAGGTGTGGTTCATGTCTATAGGCAATGGTTTTTTTAATAGGTCACATGAAATGGTAAACCTGCCTGTGTTATGGTATATGCTGGTGGAGCAATAGTGACGGATGATACATGAGATGAAAAGGCAGATCAGTTAGTGCCTTGTGGGGAATACACCAGGAATTCGGTACAATGGTTTCAGGGGGGATTACATGGAGATTGACCTGACAGGGTATTTTGACAGGTTATTACTTTCCATCAGCCAGGCTGTCAGCTTGTTTGCCATTCTAAGTTGTATGAAAAGAATTAATTAATTTAGCACTAGGTAAATTGAGAACCTCTTTTTCAAAATTGTTTAAAAAGGTGTTAGTTTGTATAGTCTCTTTATATTTTTAATTATTAAGTTCTAATAAAAATGTAAACAAATAATTAGCCTGATGTACATACAACAGTCTGCTGATGTCCAATAGTTACATGTTTAGATAGATAATTATTTTGTATTAGATAAACATACACAAAGTGAGTAAATAATACAGATAAATAAATAACAAATAAACACAAACATTAGACAGTATTTCTATGATCATTACAAACTTAATAATTCTTTCATTAAGGTCTTATAAAACTCGCATTTTATTATGGATTATCTTTATTACAGATGGAGCTTAAAGATATGAAATTGGAAGTAGGCGAGGACCGTTTAGTTCTGGATTCGAAAGGTGCATTCGATGTGGTCGACTTTTTCTTGCCCTGCAGTGTAGATCAGGATGTTATTGACGCTAAACTCAATAGAAACAACGATGTAAGTAGTTTTAATTTGAGAAGTTGTATCTTATCAATTATGTATTATGTCATTTGTCAAAATTTTGTATATACCACAAAGGCGGCAAACAAGCTTACAGCTAAGTATCACGTGCGCGTTATCGACCCCGAAAAAACCTTAATATACCCATTTTGAAGAACTCCATATTGTAGTCTCTAGAGAAAAACAGGAAGCTCATCACCTCAGCAGGGAGTTCATTTACAATATAATATGTTCGGGGGGAAAGGGATTGTTAGTAATGGAGACTGAGAATCCCATTGCTAGCAATATACCCAACCAGGTCGACCTCCTCGCGGTTCCCCCTGGAAACTATTATGGTTAATTCCTGATGAATTCATCATGATGAGCCTGTTTTCATTTTCATCTATACCATTCACTGGTGCTCCGCCAGCGTATCCTGCTAGCGCAGGTGGGGTTACCATTCCATTTTCACCCATAAAAAAAATATAATATGTTGATTTTTGTCTAATCTATCAAATTTATGAATGAGCATTATCAATTTGTAGTAATTATATATTGGGGCCAGTTCTGAGGCGCCATTTTTCTAAACTTATCTCTAAAATTTTAATTTGATAATTTTGCGAAATTACCTATTTTATGGATCATCAGAAACAAAAATTGTAATTATACTATATACTTGAATACTAATATACTTGAATCTATTTGAAAAATAGTTCATGTTGATCCTTTCCCCGTGTGTGCCCCAGCATAGAATGGGCCATAACTTCCTTTCCCATGAGTGTTGTAAGGGCGAAGGATGGGCTGCAGCGTCCGTCTTTAAACATTACCAAATGTTTTAACTGCGGTTGTTAACCCGCCAGCTAAGCGTGGTAAATACTGGCAAAACTCTTTTTATGGGGAAAGCTTATGTTCAGCAGTGGACAGTTAACGGCTGAAATAATAATAATAATAATAAATTGGTCCTTAAAATAAACATTTTACTGTGATATGATAAATTTTTAGAGAAAATGACGCTTCCCAATCTACCCCAGTGAGACTAATTTATATGTATAACAATAGAAATAGATGATAATGAATGATATGAAATTAAATTTTCTAATATATTGTTAATAAATAAATGTCCCTGTCATAATATGTTTAAGGCATTATTATTTTTTTTGTTTTTCAGATGTTGCTGGTCAAAATGCCTGTTATACATTAGAAATATATAATAAATGTGACCAATCCTTAGCTTCGTTTAACAGACAAGTAAAATCTCATTTTCTTAGTAGTTACTCTTTCCCTTTCTTTATTTCTTTTGTCATTTTACTAGATTCGTCATATTTCCTTATGTGTGCTATGTATATATTTATATGTGTATGTATATGTAGTATACATTATTTGTTATAAGTAGTTTAATAAATAATATGTTCTTGATGTTTTTGTGCATTATAAGTTTTTGTATTTTATGTACGTATAAATTATTTATTCACTCTTGCGCCACCTACCCACTTCTATATGATCTTCTTTTACCACAAGTCGTCTGTAAGAGATTGCTCTAACGATAAGACCGCCTTTTGTACCTTTATGTGTATATTTCAATCTGTACTTCATGTAAATAATTCAAGTGAAATACAGTAGGTATTTCACTTGAATTATTTACATATCATTGTTTATGTTTTCGGTGCAATAAAGAGTTAAATAAATAAATAATTTATATATTATTTTGTAATTTCGTCAATATTTAAAATAAAATACCTATATTGAGTATTATTTTATTTGATATTTAAATCTATTAGAATTGACTAAAAATAGTTAAAAATTTAAACTTTTAAGTTATTGAAGTCGAAATTTTGTGCAATGTTATGGTTCTAGTAAGGAATATGATAAATAATAAGATAAAAAAAAAATAGATATTCTTTGAATAGTTTGAATTCCCAGTCCTTTCCGCAACTGCAGTGGGAAGTGGATGGAAAGGGGGGGACCCTTTCCATCCCAACATAAGTCCCCTATTCCTCTTATTTACCAATTTCCTTTACATATTTCCAATGTTTCCTTCCTTTTTACCGTGGCAGAAACTACCAACAATTGCATTTCCAAAGAGGGTTGACGTCAGGCAGGCGGCCGGTCATAAAATTATAAGCCAAATCTTTTTGTAATATGGATAAAAAATATATTACGCTAACCCCAAATAAATGGGATAAAGATGAAGTTGATTCTTTGAATAGATAGAACTCACGGTCTCTAAGAAATACTTTGAGACATTTCCATATTATCATTTTTTTCTAATATTATAATTTTTTTTATACTATGAAAGTGGCAAACGAGCACCTAGCCCGTCTGATGGTAAACGGCCACTAGCTTATGGGCGCCAGCAACACAACATACTTCACTGGTGCTTCTTCATTCTATTAGTGTTGTATAAGTTGTGATATGGTAACTGAATCAATATAAAACATTTCTAAATAAAAAACAATTTATTAAAAAGCTATGTATATAAAATGATGGTAAGTCTTACACGCAATAATATCACAAAAATATTCTACTATCTACTTATTATGTAGTACAATTTCTAGCATATAAAATAAATTTGTCTACGATAGTCAATATTGAATAAATGCATAAAAAATTATTGAAATTGACAAGAGATTGCTTATAATTTAATAGTTTATCTAAAATTTGATAAAAAATTAATTTATATTTGTGATGATTTTTTTAATTAATGTGATTAATATATAATTAATATTATTTTGTACAACATATGTATAAAATTAAAAATTCAGATACGTTAGTGTCGTTCTTAAAATATCACCAAATAAAGGTATAAATTTTATTAAATTTATAACTTTAATTTTATTTTATTAACATTTAAATTAAATTTAGATTTCTCAATTTGTATGATTTTTTAGTCATTAATGATTTAGCTATTACTGATAAATAATAAGGTAGTAAGTACTTTTTTAAATGTAATAATTAATTTTTATAAGCGTCATAAAGTTAAAATTTTGTTACTTACATATGAATTCTTTTTAAGATTCAAAATAATTATACATATCTAGCCTCATTAGTTACATCAATGTTAGAGAATTGTTCTTTTATTGCCTTATTAGAATTAACATTTAATTTTTTTTTCTTCGTTTATCACTTATTTGTTCTTCTTGTATTTTGATGTAACTAGAATTATCCTCTTCTTAATAATAATGAGTAAATTCTTTGTTAATTAATTAACGATTAATCACTGATTGGTGAGATTATTAAGTTTGACAAGAGCCCTGCAAAGTACATTTGTTAAGCAAAATTTTTATTTGCTTTATTCGATCTGGTAACAGATTCTTTGTTTTTTTTTTTTTAAATATACAGGATTCTCAAACATTACGAGTACCTACGTTGAAAAAAAATGACTGGACTCGAACTCTACCTCGGCTGTGCAAGCCTTCCGTTACTTATTCATTAACATTACGAAATTAGTACTATTTATTTGAGAAACTTAATCTCACGATGCTATCTAAGGGCTTTTTCACATACACAGAGCATACATTTGACGATCCCTATGTAATTGTAGGTATGTAATTGTAGTGGTAGGTATGTTTTGTTAGTAAAGCTAAATGTAAATGCTAGTACTATTGCTAGCAATATAACCAGGTCGACCATCGTGCTAAATTCCAGGTGAATTCACCACGATGGACTGCCCTGCCTTTTCATTCTTACATATCATCCCTCACTGGTGCCCTGCCAGCGTATACTATTAGCACAGGCGGGGTTACCATTCTATTATCATTGATTAGAAAAAATAGCAAGGACTGGATGTCTAAACAAAGGATCTTGAACACCCAAAAGAAATATCACTTGGTAACTTCTTTAACATTAGAACTCATCATGTTTAACATGAAAAGCTTGCCCTCGCACGCCTAGATCGTCCACACCAGCTAGGATATTCTCCTCGTACCTCACCAAGTGTGGTTTGATCTCGTTAATGAGACTTGCGTAGTCTTTAACCTTGAAAGATATTACGCTGCTAAATTGTTGGCGCGCGCTCCTACCGAGGTACAACTTCAAGGAGGGGTAACTCGTAATTTGTTCGTGTTGGCAGACACCGCGTTCCGTTATGCAATTGACTTTGCCCAATTGTACTGCGTTGTCGAGCAACTGTAATTACAATAAAAATAAATTGTTATTTATTGCAAATTTTTATGAAAATGTAAAAAAAAAATACTGACGAATAGAGAATTGAAATCGTGTAAGAAAATCTTATACTCACAATGCCAGTTATCGCGAAATCAGTATACATCTCATAGCACGTGTAACACCGCGGGGAGTGGAAGTATACCAGCCAGGGTTTTCTTTTACTGTAATAAAAAAAAAAAAGATTATAAAAATCTGTTCTACATTCGGTTAAGGTGTTTAGTCACTAAATAACATTGTATACGAAATACTAGGTGGCGCTAGAATCGAGACTTATGGTTTTTGTTGATTATTTTGTGATTAAAGACAATAAAGAGGCAAAATTTCTAAAATGATGAGTGGTTTTTATTATTAGATACTCGTATGAATGTGAAGCAACAGACAACCGTTTTCCTGAACGAATTATAGTACACTTAATTGCAACGCTTCTTGCCAATATTTTTTGCTATTATTCCAAAGTTTTAAAATATAAGAGAATAAAGACAAAAATTATGATAAATTATATCGGTTAAAAAATAGCGATCTAATAATTTGCCTGAAAATGACTAATTAAGAGGTGAAACACGTGCCACAAAATGTGCAGGAACAAAATGGCAGTCGAAGATTGATGGCTAATATGGAAGATTGTGGAACTTCTAGTAGTAATAGTGGTGGTCAATCTTCGAGTGTTGGCAGTTACACATATTTATATGTGTATAATATATATAACACTAGGTTGCGGAATTAAATAATTCTAATCAAATAACCAATACTTTATTAGTTCTGTTCATTGAACGTATTTGAAACATCAAGAACCTTTTTTCTACATAGGTCGTTGATTGCTTAAGCTGTGCAGTTGCTACATCAATTTTAGATCTTTGCTTTGTTCCACCTCATTAATTTTTTTTTTAATTAAGCTGTAATGATGTTAATCTTACTGAATCATTAGTTTCGATATATCTAGCGGAAAGGGAAGTACTTACATCGTAAGGTGTTTAGAGTAGGATCATACTGCAAATAAATTATAAAGGGTAATTTCAAAGGTGAATCAAGTTTGAAACCTAAATATATGTTTTCTACCCTTCGAAAGCAAAACGTTGCTAATATCGCAGTTTATATTATTATCCAGTATTTGCTTACCTGGCAGGATTTAGGTCCTCTGAGATAACATTTCGAGTGAATGTTTGCCAGTTAAGTTTTTCCACCGATTCGTCGATATGGCCCAGCGCCCATTCTAGTATGTAAGGTGCTTCAGATAGATGTTGCAGACTTATTCTGAATAGAAAATTATTTTGTCAATTATCTACTCTTCTTCTAATCTAATTTTATGTATTTAAAACTTTATTGAAATTACGATCATTAATTAGTATTAAGCTTAAAAACAGAATGTCTATGATGTATGTTCATGTCTATAGGCGACGGTTACCACTTATTTGACATTCAAAGTTATATTAAAAAACCGAATCAGGGACAGTTGAAAAATAAAGCAATGTGTTAAACCGCTACATTAAAAAGATTCAATGCTACATTAAAAAGAAAGGACAATTATTATTGGTTATTTTGTTACTTTATATTTTTTCTGTTTTATTGTAAAGTTGTTTTATGATGTCTTCTTGTTACTTGTAAAAAATATTCAATACAATGTAGTATTATTTTTTCATTGGTGAAAATGGTATGGTAACTAACGGTATATGCTTGCGGAGCACCAGTGAAATGTGATAGATGAGAATGAAAACAGGTCAGTTAGTCCATCATGGTGAATTCATCAGCAACTAACCATGATAGTTTCCAGGGAGAACCGCGAGGTCGACCTGGTTAGGTATATTGCTAGCAATGGGATTCTCAGTCTCCATTACTAACAATTCCTTTCCCCCCTACAATGTACTATTGTTGCGAATAAATGGAATTGAAATTGAAAGCCTTAGAAGGACCCTTTAAAAAAACATCAATTAATGATGACGTTGCTTACGTGTAATGTTGCGCTGCTGCCAGTGGATACAACCTTGCGCTCGGCGAGCGAACGTTAGAGCACAGTCCGCTCGCGCCGCGAACGCACCGCAATATACCCACGCGTACAAAGTCCAACGGCCGCAACTACAAGTTTTTTTTTTTTGTAAAGGCAATACATGGAGCCTTATGGAGCTCAATCAACGTACACTATACGAAAATAAAACTAATCCAAAGCACATTTGAATACATTACATCTACGTACTCTTAGTACCAGAGGGACTAAGTCTGACTTTGTACAAAAGTCGCTTGCTTGGCCACCTCTGTCTCATTCGTGTTTCTACCGTAAAGTAGTTGTATTTGCATGTCTGTATTTCGCTTTGAAGGGTGGGATATGGCAGAGAATATACAGGGTACAGAGGAATACTTTGAAGTATTAATAAAGTTATATTACAAAATATTGCATAGTAAAATCTTAAATTATAGAATACAGAGTTCTTAAGAAAAGAATATATATATATATATATATATATATATATATATATATATATATATATATATATATATATATATATATATATATATATATATATATATATATATATATATATATACTTTTTTTAATTGAAGGTCGTAGTCAGTGGCATGCCTTGGGAGAGGTCTTTTTTTATACAATTTACAGGGTGGCCCATAAGTCCTTAGTAATGAAAAAAATTAATTAAAATAAAACTAATTACACTATGAATAATAATATTTTTATTTTTTGTAAATAACGTCGTCCAAATGTAATCCGTTACAGTCACGGCACTCTTGCAAACGCCTTCTGAAATTGTCGATGACTGCGCGGCACGTCACTGCTGAAATGCTTGCCATTTCTCTGCGGATGTTTTCTTTTAGGTCATTAATTGACCGCGGGTTAGAGTCGTACACTTTAGCCTTAAGGTAGCCCCACAAAAAAATCCATTGGAGTCAGATCCGGGCTACGTGGTGGCCAGGAAATGTCTCCTCTCTTAGAGATAACTTTGTTTGGAAAAAGTTGACGGATAACGGGCATAGCAGTATTGGAGGTGGGGGAAGTTGCTCCATCCTGTTGAAACCATGTTCGGGCATTAAAGCCTGGAAAGTTTTGCAATTTTTGTGTGAAAAACTCCTCGATCATGGCCACATATCGCTCCGAAGTAACAGTAACAGCACGCCCTCTGCCGTCCTCAAAAAAGTAAGGCCCTATGATGCCATGGGCTGACATAGCGGCCCAAACTGTAACTTTAGGGCTATGTAAGGGCTTCTGGTGCTTAAGTTTTGGATTAATCGGGCTCCAATAGCGGCAATTTTGTTTACTAACATGTCCGTTAATGTGGAAGTGTGCCTCATCAGAGAACATTATGTTATTGAACGAAGTAAACCGATTAAACATTTCATTAGCATAATTCACTCTCTGAATAGCATCAGTCTCTTTTAATTCTTACACCAACTGAATTTTGTAAGGGTGCATAAGTAAATCTTTCTTCAAAATCCGTTGTAACGATGTCCTGGATACGTTTAATGCACTGGAACGCTTACGAGTTGACTGTGTAGGATTTTCACGAATAGATTGTGCCACTGTGTCGATGTTTTGTTCCATACGTGATATCCTTGGGCGACCCAACCGCGGTTTATCTAACGTCGAACCGGTCTCCTCGAACTTAGCAACCCAATTCTTAATCGTTTGGAGAGCTGGGGTGTCATCAAAGTTGTGTAAACCTTTGTGTTCTCGAAATTTACGCCTCGCAACGGTTGCCGAATTGTTGTTTTGATAAAACTCGCGCACACAAAACGCACGGTCCGCTCCGGTGAAACGCTCCATCGCGACTAAATTCCCAGAAACCGAAGTTACTGCCCCCGCTACCCCTGCACCGCTCACGCGCGCCGTTTTCGTTTAATTCAAATTTTACTTTTCTAAAGATTTTTGGGCCACCCTGTAGAATGGCAAACAAGTTGACGGCCCACCTGATGGAAAGTGGTAACCGTCGCCTATAGACACGAGCAGTACCATGGACATAAGAGTATACTGTTTCGCCCATGATACCCCCCATGCGTTGCCATTCCTGAGGACTCAGATGTTATTCCTCTGTACCCTGTAAATTCACGCCATATCCCACCCTTCAAACCGAAACACAGCCATGCAAATACAATTGCTTCACGGTAGAAACACGAATGGTACCCAAGCAATCGACTTTTGTACAAAGTCTCCCTCTGGTAAAAGTCTATGTCCAGCAATGGTCTGCAGTAGGTTAATTATGCTGAATAATACGTTTTGAAGAAATATACAAGGAGTAATGAAGTACCTTCTGTGCAACAATACGCCATTCGTGTTCTAACTGATCGCATACGCGTCCGCACTGAGCCGGGAAATATGCCACCAGCCAGCTGTGCTCACGACTGGACGCATCCAAGATTTCCAGCGCCTGATGCTCATCTAACTCCAAGTCTATCAAGAACAAAAACTTAGTCATTGTACCCATACAAATTTAACCTTATCTTGAATATCGTTTAATTAAAAACGGGTCACTGTTGAGTCGAGTATTCTGCGGGTTCTTCTCAGTGGATAACATTCCAATCCCAGCAATCGAATCATAAAAAAAAAAAAAAAATTAGATTTAAAAGACCTTGTAAACAAGTCTACAAATCGACTTGTAAATAATTTTTATCTAAAAATAAAGTTAATTTCTATTCTATAGGATATTGACGGTTTATAGGGTTTTTTAGAGTCATTAACATTGTATTACATAGAATTCATTCTATTAAACTAATATTTCAATTTGTTTTTGCGATAATATAACAATGACTACAAGTTTATTTCAAGTAGCTTAAGTCTTAGTAAATACTTCTATTATGCGTGTATCATTGTCCCACAGCAGGCATAGAAATAGATAAATAAGTTTATATGATTAATTTATAACATTAGGTAATACATAGGAATTAAATAGAAATAACTCATACTAGTTTATAAAATGAATAGTTTATTAATAAATTGTATAGGAAATAGAGAAATAAAGAGATTAGCCAGAGCGGCTTTCTTGTCCAGCTCACACGCATTCCGTCTCTCTCGCACTCTCGGAAAAAGGATGTACTTTAATTGTTACGATACTGTCACGCTTGACGAGGTCCAAACGTTAGTCAAGAAATTATCTACCAAAAAGTCTCTCAGTCTACATGGAATCTCTAACAGACTCGTCAAAACTCTGCCCACCTATCTCTTATTACTTTTTGTCGCCATCTTCAATGCAGCACTATCCAAAGCTATATTCTCAGATAGCTGGAAAGAATCAGACTATACAGCCCATATTTACCACCATTGTGGTATAAAAAAAAGACATATTACCCAAATAGTGTATTCAGGGCCTTAGAGTTCGTATTGCGACACGAGACATTTAGATAATATAGAAGCTATTAAAATTCTTTATAATGCTTTCGTACGGAGTAAACTGGAAAATAACGCTATCATCTGGAATCCATATTAAACCAAATATACACAGATGATAGAAAAATTACAGAAAGTTTGTTAGATGGTTGTACTGTAAACAGTATGTGTATCACATAGGTTATTCTCGTATATAACCGAGCATTTTTCTGTTAGGTATAGTGGAATATAATTCCCTAGAGGTAAGGCGACTTGCCTCTCTGCTAGAGTACTTCTTTAATATAATTAGAGTAATAAAGTAAAATACGTCTATCTTGAACTTTATAGGCATGTCTGTCCCAGAATTTAGTAAACATGGTCGTAATCACGTAATATTTGTTCTACCACGCAACAGGACATTCCATGCTGATCAAGCATCACTCACGAGGGCGCTACTTACTACTATCTGCTCAATGAGGTAGTTGCAAGTTCACAAATGGATTTATTTTATTGTAGTGCCATATAGTTTCGCAAAGTGGTAACAAATTACGTAAAATTGCATTTTTAGTGTATTTTTTTATATATTTATTTATATTACCATTAACATATTAGGAAATCAGTAAAGTTTACCAAAAATATGTATGTATATAATAAATTAATATACAAATAAGTAAATAAATATATCTACCATCGCTGTCCATAATCAGCTGTATATACTCCAAAAGGTTGTGCTCGTCAATTTTCCCGCTGTACACGTGTCGCTTGCGGCCCTCCTGCAAGTATACGGTGGGCTGGCTAGGGGCGAATTCGCGGCAGATTTTCTCCGTATCCATGGTACACGACATTATGCCGAACTGAAAGAGAAAATAAATATAAATACGTTGAATATGTTCCACAGCGCCATCTATTCCTAAACTATGAGGAGTTTGTAAATAATTAAAGATTGTACAGAAGATCATGCTTCATTTCACAAGAGAGCGCTTAGATCCAGTGACCCGGGGGTAGTGGCTGCCGTAGTTAAAGCCGGGGCAAAGGGACCCGTCTCGAGGCCACCAACTAACCCTCCCACCAGGAGGGGCAGAAGACCTGTCGCCGTCGTCAGATTGTGTCCCACAAAAAACCGATCAATTCTAACAAAACCAGTTTTTTTTTTTTAATTTAAAATATAGCATACTGAATCAATTTTGATACAAATTTTTATGGGATCCATCTGTAAATTATCTTTTCATATAAAAACAAGACTTTTCCAAATAAGTTAAGAACAGGTGGAGTTATAAAGTAACAATTTAAAAATGGAACTGAATTGAGCATCTCCTTCATTTTGAAGTTGGTTGAAAATGGTTATAAATATTTAAAATTTTAAGATGGTTAACAAACAAAAAAAAAATTATAATACTTACATTCATTTCCTCTGAATTGTCGTAGTGTAAGCTTATACGCGTGAATGTTTGAGCTATATGATCCCATTGGACTTGATACGGTATGACGACTAATATCCAAAAGCCCATTTCTGTCGAAAAAAAAACACATAAAATGACATATATTTTTGCTTGTTTTTAATGGAAGTAAGAGCTATTTTAAATTTAATTTCATTTACATAATTTTTAGATTTTACAGTGTGAAAGTGCTGTTGCTTTACTTAGCTACGTGTCCCTTAATGATTCAACTAATTGTACATTTTGGGTATAAAGTACATGCATATATGCTTTGATGCATGCATCGTACACGTGCACGGAATGGGTTCTGTAACGTTTTGCGACGTTTACTTTTCATCACGGTGACAGCCCTATTAATTATGTTGAGTTGTATAAAAAGGCAGTACATCATCATAACAGCCCTAAACTGTCCACTGCTGAACATAAGCCTCCTTATTTGGAGGTATTTTGCCAGTAGTTGCTAAGCTTAGCAGGCGAATTGGTAACCGCATTTAGGCTTTGTAAAATATTTTAACCCAACTCTCGCCTACCCTTAGTCGCCTCTCACAACACCCATAGGAAAGAAAGTGGTGGCCTATTCTATGCCTCATCTATGTCCTAATTAATTATAACTCACCTCCGTCGAGTATCCGCGTCAAATCAGAAGCCGACAACGTGTGTAGCCTGGTAGCCATTACGGCGTTTCGAATGAAGTTCTGAATGTCCTGTGTATCGGCGGCGCGGTGGTAGGCACCGCCTCGCTTGAGTGCACCCCATACCGCGTCCTCCCGCGGTTCACCCGCCTGTAGTGACGCGCATAGTTCGCCCCATTTGTCGCAGTCGATTTCACCTTGAATATACAAGTTCATATTATCCTATTAGATGATAGATGAAAGACACGTGACAGAAATGCGAATGTCGAAATGGATGTGTAAGGTGACAAGGAATGACAAAATATGAAACGAGTATGTTCCGGGAAGTCTAAAAGTTCCACCAGTAACGGATAAGTTGCGTTAAATTGTTGTTAAGGTTGAAATGGATGGGTGTAAAAAGAAGGGGACGACCGAAGAAAAGGTGGATGGACTGTGTGAAAGATTATATGTATAATAGAGGGACGAGCTTGGAAATCACAGTTGACAGGATTTGTGGGAAAAAAGGACATATAAGTAAATGCAATGATAATGATTATTTATCCTATTAGAGCCTTGACCGATTTCAATGAAGTTGTATATTTGTGTATTTTTGATAACTTGCAACAAACATACACTTATAAGAATTGAAAGCACGAAATATGATTATACATATTTTGAAGTGCTGCCTTAGTTAAACATAAACAGTGTGAATAGATTAATTAATAGATTCCTGCAATAAAACAACTTACCAAAATGCAAATCAGGGAATTCCAATCTCATTTGATTTAACAAAAGTCTATTATGATTTTTGGTAAAGAAATACAACACCCATGGTTTCGATTGACCATTTCGAAGTTTGTTCCTTATTTCCTGCAAGTTAAAATTTAAAATTTATTGTGATTCAGCGATAATATTAATTAAATTAAACCACTATCCCCAAATAATGTGTTGAAAAATAAAAAAGAAAATCGAATATCTGACACTTACGTGACCGCGCGGTTTCAGTTCGTATGTATTTTTTTTATGTATGTTAAGCAATATTTTCACCAATTTTATGTTATTATTATTTTTTAAATTCTAGGTTTGCACATATGTTCGATAGTCTATATTCAAATTTCAAATCATTTGTAGGCTTTTAAAATGGAACTTATTTCAACATCAGTAACTCGAATTACGTTGTTCAATCCAAAATATTTTTTTTCATACTATATTTCATACAATAAACATAGTATAAGGAGGTGTTTTGATCAAACAGCTTGTACTATAACACCTTTGTTATATTTGATGATTGTATTCCAATATATTAAAATTATAATTATGTTTTTTTAAATATTACAAATAGATCAAATTAAGTACAATGATTTTACCTTCAATCTATTCGGGTTTATCGATTCTGTCTTTGGTAGAGCATCTACAATTTCTTTAAGGACATCTTTCTCTTCTGTGCTTTTTATTTCTATAGTATTTTCTTTATACCTATACACAACTGTTGTATACTCATCACTTGTCAGTTTCTCACGTAGGCTATCGTCGTCGATTATGACAAGTGTGACTAGATTTTTCTGTAAACATACATAAGATATAGTGTATAAAACAAGGATGTGTTGTTAACCATAAAACACGGGAACGGCTGGACTAATACAGAAACTTTTTTTATGAAAAGATTTTTTTTTATATCGACAAAAAATAGTGATTATCAATATATATTAATAAAATAGAAAATATATTATAATATTTTCTATTTTATTAATTATTATTATTAGATTTGAAAAGGTTAGGTTAATGTCCCGGTATGGTCCCTTCCTTTCCCGTGGGTGTCATAAGAGGCGACTTATTAATGGTCGAGGGTTCGGCAAACCAAACACTGGTTGGCAACTCGCATACCAAGCGTAGCAACTACTGGAAAAACCCCCCATAGGGCAAGGCCTATGTTCAACAATGGAAGTTGATGGCTGACATGGTGATGATATAAGTTTATACTCAATTCTAAAAGAACAGTACATTTTAGCGGCATCGACACACAATAAAGAAATTCTGTAGTTTCCTACAGAATTTCTTTTACCCTTCAAGATATGTTAATGACGTACCAAATGAAATGCAATCCTGGTTAGCGCATTTCTATCGATCCTGTTAGTGCCCAGCACATAAGCCATTGGTGCATCTTTACTCCTCAGTTGCGAGACAGTGGGTACGTGGACAAGGCTTCTCAGGTATGACATGATGAATTGGTCCAAGGCATCAAGGGTGCGATCACCTCGGTAGTATATATAATTACCGTGTTTACCCTGCAAAAAAAAATTTAATTATAATATATAAATACTTTACAGATTAGACAGCAGCACCTAGTTCCAAGCTGACAACATTTGGCAACCGATAGATTTTAATTAAACATTTTTTAAGTAAATAAATTAAGAATGTTTGTATAGTGCAAGGATTGATTCCGCAACTATAGAATTAGATCACAGATTTTGTTAATAACTCACATAAAGCTAAAAAGAGTGTATATCAAGACATTAACGTAAAGGCCAGATCTCCACTATAGTGTCATATTCAGTTCGCTATTGCACTGCTCTCAATATGGTCAGTAGTTGTAGAAACAGTTCGAGATAGATTGGAACAGGACTGGATTGTAGTGTGAATACACACATTATTTCTCAGATAATTACTAGAACGAGAATGGATTAAGAGTGATCCGAGACTGACTCTGGAGTGTGGATCAGACCTAAGGCTTCAAATCATTATAATAAAAACAGGATTGGTCAAAAACAAATATCTGTGAATTTGTTCTCCATCTTATACACTGTTATATTGTTTTGTACCATTAGTTACTTTGTATGACGATTTGGTGATGAAAACGTTGGTGACACATTTTGCACAATTACCTTATCAAATACCTTAATGAAAAGGTACCCAAGTTTTATTTTTTTAATTATAAAAGAAATATTTTTTAAATTAAATTAGTAACAAATCGAAATTTTTTATTAATGACTTGTTTTTAATTTATGTAGTATAAACAAGATATTATGGACAACAGCAGTCTATCTTATGGTTAGATCAATTGTTTATTTATTGACAGTTACGAATTGATACATATGCACCTTTTAGGTATTGTAATAGGAGAGAGACAAATAGACAAATTAAAAAAATAGGATGATTTTTTATATTTATGTATATTTTCACTAAGTTCTATTGAAATAGACTATAAGTACTTACATTAGGATAAAACAGTAGTGAAGGATAACTGCCTATTCTCATTGAGTTGTAACAGAATGAATTATGGTATTTACAGTTCACGGCCCCGATTTTAACCTGTAAGAAATTAATTATAATTTTATACATAACAGGGATTTATATATTGTGATTAATTTATTTTTTATATGCCAATTATATAATTTAAAATTTCACACACAACAATAATATTAAGCTATCAAATGTGGACTAAATGTACAGGGAGCATTTTAAATTATTTGTATCTTTTTAAGAGAATGTTTTACTAAGGAAACAGATTTTTTTTAAAGAAACATAAGCAGAAAAATAACAATAAAATTTTAACCTTCCATATTAACATAGTACAAATAAATCTATATTTCTTAGGGAAAAATATTCTATTCGAAAAATTGCAGTGTGGTACCAGGATAGAAGTGACCACCACTTGCTGACCCATGAGTGTCGTAAGAGATGATTAAGGGAACTTAATGGTCAAGGGATGAGCGGCAGTGATTCACTTAAAAGATTATCAAAGTTTGTCAGTTAAGAGCTAATATAATAAAAAATTGTAAACATTCTTAGTAAGATGACAATGATTTAGATGTCACCCTGCATAAAATATTAATATATTACTAAATTGTATAATAAAATTATTATATCCACTTACAATACCCTTATATATTTCTGCCAACTTTTTCCAGTGATCAACTAATTTCTGACATGGAGGGCAAAATGGTGAGTAGAAGTTAATGAAGTGAAAGCCTTCATTTAGATAATTATCTGTAACAATATCATAAGTCTCAATATTATAAGGGGCCAGTATCAAGTAAATATATATATGTAAATATGTAGCACATACATATTATATGTAATATAGAAGGGAGACTAATGGAATAATTTCTTGAGTGATAAAGATTACTTTTATTTATGCTTTAATTGGTGCAATATACAGTTAAAAAATAAATTGACTGCTACTTTAGACAGCCTCATGAGAGCTAATTCTGTTCATGAAGTTTGCACCAAATCATACTTAAGTAAAAATTTGATGTACATCTATAAAACTCCTATCAGATGATGTTTATTCATGCTAATCTCTAAAACTGTTAAATTTATTTTATGGAGTTTTATAAATGTATATACTTATCTAATGAATATGTTTATGCAGTGTATACAAATCATATGACTGTCTATTTTTATACTTATATAACAATTCAATTTACTTGAAAAGGTTTGCTAGAAGAAATCTCTTATTAGAGATAAGTTCGACATTTTAAATTAACTGTTATTAATCAATATCTTCATGTATAATGAAGAAATGTGTATTATTTGCTTTAACTTGAGGAATAAAAATAAATTATCCTAGCGACTTATAAAATAAAATGCATATTATAATATACTCACAAAAATTTTGTCCTGATAGTGTATCTACATAAGGACTGTCATGGTATAATCCATTGTAAAACAAATTGTCATACTCAGATTGGGACTGATAGTCATACTTTCTTGTGTACGAAGAGAATGTTCCATAGAGATCATAGTTCCGTCTCTTTTCAGGATCTTTCAAAGTTTCATATGCTTCTGTGATTTTAAGGAATTTTTCTTGCTCTCCTTTATTCTGAACGAAAAAAATAAAATATTTTATTATAATATTTAGGTATATTATGTTAACAAATTGATTTAAAAAGAGCAACAGGCAAGTTTCTTGCCAGTTCTTTTTAACTAGAACTACTTGATGGTAAACTTATCATCTGAGCAGATGATAGTGCAAAAACTTATATATCTAATTAACAAAAAAGTCCTATACAAAATAAATTATATTGATTTTTCTTTTTATTTCTTATATTTACCATGTCAATACATAAAATTATTACTTAACTGAAAAAATATATAAATATAATTAATTTAATTTAGTGCTTACCGAGTTTTTGTCTGGATGAAATTTTATTGCCAGTTTCTTATAGGCTTGTCTAATCTCTTGCGTTGAAGACTGCTTTGAAATTCCTAATATTTGGTAGTAATTTACATCTGTTAGGTTAACTGTTCCCATTATTGCTAAACTTACTAAGAGTAATTTGAACCTGAAATAAAATTACTATTTACATCATGTTTATTTTACTTTAAATCCAGACACTGAAAAAAATTATTATATTATTAAATTCAATATAAATTTTAAAGTAAGGAATTTACTTACATTTTTAAAACACTACTCGGAACGACTGACAATTTCTTATGGGTGTACTTATCTTGGTTGTTTAGTTAACATACAAATTAATTAGGTGACGCTAGAACGTTCAACTTTTTTAATAAAATTAAGTAAGAAGAGATAAGACTGAATAAAAATTGCAGTTCAATGAACTTCAATGTTTATATTTCGCGTAGGTGTCAAACTGTCAAATTTGACAGTCTCCACTTTTTTTTAATATTCGATCATCTTTCTCTAGATGGAGTAGGCAATGATCATTTGACTATACAGACTAGTCTTATTTTGTAAGTTTAGATCCGAAAACGCATTACCATAGACATATAATAATGAAGCAAACAACGCTTAAGTTGAAGATATGGGTAAGATATTTCTCTTTTGTTTGCTTCTATTGTAAAATTAATCTTCACCGTATCAATAAATACCTATACAGTTTTGTTATATTAAGGAAATTTTCAAAAAAAATTCTACCTCTTATTGTAAGGTGATGGGTAAGTTCTGTCGTCACCATATTTTATCCTTAGGGTTTTATAAGAGAGGTAGTCTGGTCTGCGCTATCAGTATATACTGGTACTGGTATATGTATATAATCTGTACAGAGTTGATTGTATAGTACAATAAAATCGAAAATAACTAATGAATAAAGATATATTAACGCTAACGTTTTAGTTCATAAGCATTAAGGTTGCATATAAATCTATCATTAAAATAAAAACATATTTTGTATTGGAATTTTTTAAATAATTTTTACTATCAAAATCCAAATTTTTAGTGAGAACTTAATAATTTACTACATTATATAATATCATCTTATAGTTCATAAGCATAGCATTTTTTATTTATGACTTTGTCACCTTTCGTCAAGCTAAAATTATAAACGATCTTAAGAAAAAATTTGCTTATTGATGTAATCGTGTATCCTAAGTTCGTCCCTGTATTTGTATTACTGTGAGTGTGTTAATAGTTGTGTGAGTTTGGTGTTCCTTTTAGTCCTTCATACTTAGTCTGTTTTAATAACTATTTTTATCTATGTCTCCAATCTTTAAGACATAGATTAGGATAGTACTGGTCACTAAAAAAAACAATGATTCCAATATCTTTGAATCACTTAGTGGCATAGGTTAAGAATAATATAACAATCGTACTTGCAGTCGAACTTACCGTCACAATTTTTTTTTTAATTCCATTATCATCCATAATGGATGATAACCTCGCTTGCGCTAACGGTATACACCGGCGGGGCACCAATGAGGGATGATAGGTGAAATGAAAGGGCAGGTCAGTTAGTCCATCGTGATGAAAACACTTGGAATTAAGCACCAGGGTGAACCACGTGGAGATCGACCTGATAGGGTAAATTGCTAAAAAATAGGATCGGTAGATCGCAATACTAACAATTCTTTCTCCCCGTAAACTAAATTATAACTAAGTGAATCCTTCATAACATCCTGATCATTTATACTAATATTAGTAATAATAATAATGTAATTAATGCTGATGCCTTTACCTAAAGGTTGTCTGGAAGCGATTAACTTTGCGACAAAAGCCGTCTTTTGTGTCACTTCTCATAAAATTTTACCGTATTTATTATTTAAAAAAAATGCAATACGGTGTAAATAAATAAATAAGCATATAATCATGTAGTGATTACTTGCTCTGTGGTAAATAGTTTTAATAAATTACCATAGATTACGATATTTTTTTTCATATGGCACGGCACATATTGTGTTTTTAAAACTTCCTTTTTAACTTCAGTATTTGTATGTTACCCTCTTTGGTTACCCTTTAGACATAGTCTCTCTAATCTGTGATGTTATTTAGATACATAAATGTGATTAGCGAGCGAACGTTGAGGTTGTCTTTAGAGAATAGGAAATAAAATTACTGTTATGGATTAGTTCTGTCTTTTAGTACTGGCGTTGTTTGTGGGAGAAAAATGTGTTTAATCATCAAACGACTGGAAAGCAATCGTGTTATATAAAATTTCAACAAAAAACATTTTTTTTTTATAATATTTAACGTAATTAGATAATTTTAATAGGTATAATATTTGTCAATTCCGATTCTTCAAATAAAAAAAAAAAGAAGAATGCTGGCACAACTATTTTATTGCATAAACAAGAGTGTGATAGAAGTATCCATGCAGACTGCTTTTGTACAAAGTTTTCTTCCTGATATAATGGAGTAGTACTTACTTACCTGTATCTAAAGTTAGACGGGTTTTTGTTTTAATGTGTGATAATGGAAGAGTAACCCTGGCAGAGCTCTAGTCGGATAGATGATAGGCCATTGCGACAAAATCAATATAGCAAGCAAGATTAGATTAGCAGTTTCAACCTCAAACAAAACGTCAAAAAACCTACTTAAATATGTATATAATCACGTAAAACTTGTATCGTACGGTATTGCTATCGCGTAATGACTAAGGAAATAAAATATCAACGGTAAACTGCGAGTTACTCCTAAGTAATTTTATAATTTCTCAGTAAATATTCAAAATAGTCCCTCTATCAGTTCCTTCAAGTCCTTTCCAATGTCATATATATATTATATATATATATAGATATACATACATATATATATATATATATATATATATATATATATATATATATATATATATATATATTGGTCATTTGGAGAGGATGGATGAAAGAAGAATTACGAAAGAGATTTATAGAGCAAGAATGAATGGAGATGTCGGTAGGGGCCGCCCTAGACGGACGTATGTTGAACGAATAGGCGAAGTGCTGAAGAAGGGCCAAATTAAAAGTACCCGTAACCGGCGAGCGTGTATGAAAAGATTGATGAATGTGGAAGAAGCGAAAGAGGTTTGTTTGAATCGAAATATTTGGCGTTCCATTGTTTCTGCCTACCCTAATGGGAGACAGGCGTGACAGATATGTATTATATATATATATATATATATATATATATATATATATATATATATATATATATATATATATATATATATATATATATATATATATATATATGTATGTATGTATTAGTATACTTCAAATATAGATATAATAATTTGTAAATTATGTAAGTACTTATTACTGTTGTTTAAATTTCTGTTTTGGACTATTGCTGCCCACTTGCTACTTTCTATACCATTGTGTTAGATTCACTTAAAAACATCTCTTTTACATAAGTTCACCTTTGGTTACATTGTTTCTAAATTGTTATTATTACTGTAAGTTTCAGTACAATAAAGACCATTATATAATTGAATATTTATCATATTATTTTTGTGTCATATATGTTATGTTTATATATACAAATCCTATAGATACTTTTTTTTCGGGTTTTCAAGGATGACTGGAAGAAATCCCTTTAAGGAATAAGTCTGCTTGTGTACATTTATCTATCGTGTTGAATTCCAGGTGTATTCATCACGATGAGCAACTGACCTGCCTTTTCATTTTCACCTATTCACTGGTGCTCCGCCAGCGTATATTGTTAGCACGGGCGGGGTTACCATTCCATTATTAGCCGGTAAAAAATATTTTGTTAAAAATGAATGTACAAAAGCATATAAATAAATAACACGGACAAAAGTTTACTGGAATCACAAAAAAGCCTAATTCTGAATTTATTTCTACGATAAAATAAAAAGTAATTTGTTTGGTTTTAATACCAGATATCAATAGTTTCATTGCTGTAAAAATATTTGGAAAGAGACGGGTAGCTTAGTTTAAAAAATATACTATCATATCAACTGTTAACTGTTCACTGCTGAATATAGGCTTCCTCCTATTGGGAAAGCTTTGCCAGTAGTTGCCACGTTTGGCAGGCGGATTGGCAATCGCAGTTAGGCTTTGGTGTTGTGTAAAGAAGGACGCTGATGCTTATTTCTCGACTGTTAAGTTCATTTATTCGCTTCTTACGACACTGTAAAGGCCACATGACCCATATGCCGGGATAATGTATATAACTACATATTTTGTAAATGCTAGTTAGAAAGTATATATGGTTAATCGTCAATATACTTAGACTAGGAAAATATACCAAATTTTAGATATTCACATCATTCATCTTTATTATACAAGATATATCAATATTTGACGCTATTCACAGCCTTATTGTATTTTTATAATTACAAACTAACATACTATAGTGATTCAAACGAGGTGTAGCTAAAAAATTGACTTTGGTACAAGAATAGTATTTATCTGTGCTTTAATTGTGTTCGATATTAATTAGAAATAAAGTTACCTCATTTGCATCTTTTTGGTACGGAACCCTAAAAATAGGCTAGGCATTGATTAAGGATAGGATAGTATAATAATACCTATAATAATTAAAGATGGTATTCATAATTTATGATACCAACTATCCAAAATTTCTACGGCTAGGCCTCGTTTGAATTATTTTATTTAACACCGTTTATATTTCATTATAAAAAAATGAATCCCAGATTCAATAGATGTAGGCAGGGTCCGATCTAGGGGCGTATCAGGTGGGCAAATTCCCAGGACGGCAAAACAAGTATATTATTATTATTATATTAAATATATATAAAAGGTACAAAAAATTTATTTTTGCCCAGGATGGCAGAACACATAGATCGGACACTGAATAAAATAATTAATAATAGTTTATTAATGCAATACTCCCCTTACTTATGAAATTTATATACAATTACCTAATTAATATAATTATGGTCTCGACGTAAAAGCCAGGGGGAAAAATTGTTAATAGTGGGGACTGGAAGATCCATTGCTAGTAATGTATTTTTCAGGACTATGTCTTTGTGGTTGCTCTTGGATACCGTCATGGTTAATTCAATGTAAATTACTCACCGTAGGCTAACTGACTTGATTTGATTCTCACCTATCATCCCACACAGTTACCCCGCCAACACAAAACAATAGGCTAGATTATAATTTTTTTCGTCATTAAAAAAGATATAGAACTTTAGACAAGAATTATAATTTCATACCGTTGCATAGACACCCCCATACAAAGATGAATAGTAGATATTAAGGAATCGATTAAAATTGCCACTTAATGCCCCTCCCCGCCACCCCCTAGCTACGGCCATGGCTACGAGTATATACATGATACGAGGTTATGAACCTTTAAATTTACTAACTAAAGATAAAATATGACTAAATATAACGATGATTGGTATAATATTAGTCATACTTGTGGTCAAATATTGAATAAACATGCGATTAGATATATATTTATCAGTAAGTTATCAAATTGCTTTTATATAATAATAATATATTCATATATTTATTTTGTCAGAAAATCTTAATTATGTTATAATTCACAATTTGTTGTGGTATTGTAATTGTTGAATTAAGTACCTAAGTTACACTACAATTAAGTAGAACTAAAAATACAGTAATTATATTGACAAGATTAAGTTTTGGCCTTCGAATTTGCTATCATCAAATATACTTAGATCATATACTTCTAGATGGAGTATAAAGCATCAAAAGAGACTTATAAAAAGTCAGCCAATTATTGACTAATGCGTTCCGTATTTTGTCATAACGAGCGTTCAAATGTCCAAACTCTTATGAAGGCATAATATTAATAAATACTGTAGTAAATGAAAAAAAATAATAATAATGAGTTGCACTATAAAAGTCATAAAAAAACAGTTTTAAAAGTTCGTCATTTTAAAAAAAAATATAGGCTGTTTTGCAGGAAGGCATTCTATCTAGATGTAATTGATCTAAGCACACAAATAATGCTACAGCTATTTTAAATATTACATTTACACGCTTTTTTTAATCGTACGTCTAAGCGTTAGATACGCGATTATCCTTAACACAATGTTTTCTGCAAGTAACACCATTATGTCACTCCAATAGTTACCCGGTGTGAAGCTGAAGATTTGCATAATTGTCACTGGATGTCTGTAATATAAAATTTTAAGATTAATTATAATAATAATAAAACATAATTTAATATACAAAATCCTCGTGTCACGTTGTTTGTTACCAAACTCCTCCGAAACGGCTATACTGATTTTTATGAAATTTTGTGTGCATATTGGGTAGGTCTGAGAATTGGCCAACATCTATTTTTCATAGCCCTCAATGATAAGGATGGCCCACCCTATTTCGCCCATGCCACCCCCATGCGTTGCCATTCCTGAGGATTCAGGTGTTATTCCTCTCTTTAAATATTAAATTTAAAATATCATTCCTTCGGATTTTTATAGTAGGATTTATGTATTTTACAAATTAAATATTAAACTCCATTTACTGAGTTGATTTTGGTATGAACAAGAACACGAAATTGAGTTTAAAAATTTTGAACTTTATTTCATGGTAGACTCCCTGTTTATATCGGAATAAGCTTACCTTATGTGACAGTAATCTTTTGTGGTGGGACAAGGCAGTGGTTTCCTTCCATAAGAGTATAATGCCAGCACCATACTTTCAAACCCGAACCTCATGAATGAGATATAGGACACTTTGTACATTATAGATCCCATATCTTTTAACAATACCAGGTAACCGGAAAATACAATCATAGCGCATGTTGTTACAGCGGCGAAGAACGTGCCGTTCTGAAAAAAGAAACATATTAATTATCACATAATTATTTATTAGTCAATTATTACTTAATGGTCAATTATTACTTGGTAATCATTATTATTTAATAGTCAATTATTACTTGGTAATCAATTATTACTTAATAGTCAATTATTACTTGGTAATCAATTAACACTTAATAGTCAATTATTAATTAATAGTCAATTATCACTTAGTATTAATAGTTTACGTTTAATTATCAGCTAAATACATGAGTATGATACAGTATTTCAGTTTTTATTATAATTTGTTTCACAAAAAAATACCAACTTCAGTTGTCGCAAAACCAGTTAGTTTTATTTCAAAACTAAACTACTGAACCGATTTGATAAAATTTCAAATAAAAAAAGAATTTTTCAATTCGGTTTACAACTGACAGAGTTATGAGGTAACAAATATAAAAAGAAAACATACAAACAAATTGACATCCTCTTTCTTTTTGAAATCGGTTGAAAATACACACATCAAAAAAGTCTAAGCAACACATACAAATTTTAATTTTACAATGTGTTTTCGCGTTAAATCCTATTTTCTTATTTATATTATTTTTTAATGCTTTTTTGATATTAAACAACAATTGTTTTTTATTATTTTACAATAATTACGAGTAAGTACTATATATACGTAGTACAAAGTAAGGTGCCTAATCAACTAAACTTAAACTAAAATTAAATGGTTGTACAAAAATTGCAAAAATCCAAATTTGTTCAAAACTTTTTTCAAATTATTGTTTAAATCATAAAATTTATACAGAATACTAAATTTTTTTTAAGCAAAGAAAACTGTATAAAATTCGAACAAATGCATTCGCTTTTGAATTTATGAAAAAAAATTATACTCGATTTTCTTTTACAACCAGCCAGTATGTCCTCTAGATCAAAAAAGTTTACATAGCTATAACCTACTTGGGAAGAAATGATATAATAATTGATTAATAATTTGAAATCGTAGTTATGTGTTGCTTAAACTTTTTTGAGCAGTGTATATACAGGGTGGAACTAAAATAATTGGAAATGAAAAAAAAAATAGTGTTCTACCAGTAAGACTGATCATTTTACCCAAAGCTATATATGGGTCAAAAAATTACAAAAAATGGCAATGCTAAACACACAGTATACTCTGTTATGTCCTTGGCATTGCTCATGACTATAGGCAACGGCTGCCACTTGTCATTAGGTGGTCCGTCAGCTTGTTTGCCATTCTAAGTAGCATAAAAAAAAGTAACTAGAGATTTCCATGAGAATTTAACACCTAGATGTTCCGTGATACCACTTTTTTACGAGTATAACGATGATTCTATTTCCTATCAGATGGGAATGTCATCTTATCCACCATTACAAGTTACATATCAAATTAGCGTGTTTATTATTATGAATCTACGAACCTAAGTGTAGTTTATTAACATTGTTTGCGTTGCGTGGTAAGTTTACAATGAAACAGGATTGCATGATAACAGTAAGATTTCCTCGTACATAACTAATCAACGTAGTTATGCAGCATAAACCTATTTTTATATTATGCAACATTTTAGTTCATAGATAACTTATTTAATCATTCTTCTCTCTGTCTAAAGACCATAGACCAAATGATTATGGATCGATATGCGTAAATACTAAAAAATCAGAATAGAAATAAATTTTATGTAAGTATGTAAACTTTTTTGCCGTGTGCTCCCAGCATAGAATAAAAGAAAAAAGAAAAAAAAAGAACTACCCCTTTCTTCCCGTTGGGTGTCATAAGAAACAACTAAGGGAACATAATGGTCGAGAGATGGTCAGAAGCGTCCCTAAAACATCATCAATACCATAACTGCGGTTAGCAACTCGCCTGCCAATTATAGCAATTACTGGCAAACCCTCGCCACCGTTACAGGGGAGGCTTACGTTTAGTATTTTAAGCATCTTTGATTAGGCTTTTTTGGAATTTCACTGCCCACTTCCAAATGCAATTGCTGCGAAGTATAGATATTTAACTATTGTTTTTTTTTTAAACAGAAGTTCAAATTTGCACTGTTTGGTGGGTACTATATATTTTATAATAACATTTTTAAGTATTGTTTTTATTTAGCAAATATGATTAATTGCCATACTTCCTATTGGAACTCATTTTGCCATTTTTGTTTGTTTTTTTTTCAATATTGTGATAATGTAAATGCCATATTTACATGAGATTTGTGTAACAATTTGCAATATAAATCGCATTTATAAATGAACAAAGTGTCTAATTATTATACAGGTGGCCCAAAAGTCCTTAGAAAAGTAAAATTTGAATTAAACGAAAACGGCGCGCGTGAGCGGTGCAGGGGAAGCGAGGGCAGTAACTTCGGTTTCTGGGAATTTAGTCGCGATGGAGCGTTTCACCGGAGCGGACCGTGCGTTTTGTGTGCGCGAGTTTTATCAAAACAACAATTCGGCAACCGTTGCGAGGCGTAAATTTCGAGAACACAAAGGTTTACACAACTTTGATGACACCCCAGCTCTCCAAACGATTAAGAATATATATCGACACAGTGGCACAATCTATTCGTGAAAATCCTACACAGTCAACTCGTAAGCGTTCCAGTGCATTAAACGTATCCAGGACATCGTTACAACGGATTTTGAAAAAGATTTACTTAACCCTTACAAAATTCAGTTGGTGCAAGAATTAAAAGAAACTGATGCTATTCAGAGAGTGAATTATGCTAATGAAATGTTTAATCGGTTTATCAATAACATAATGTTCTCTGATGAGGCACACTTCCACATTAACGGACATGTTAGTAAACAAAATTGCCGCTATTGGAGCCCGATTAATCCAAAACTTAAGCACCAGAAGCCCTTACATAGCCTTAAAGTTACAGTTTGGGCCGCTATGTCAGCCCATGGCATCATAGGGCCTTACTTTTTTGAGGACGGCAGAGGGCGTGCTGTTACTGTTACTTCGGAGCGATATGTGGCCATGATCGAGGAGTTTTTCACACAAAAATTGCAAAACTTTCCAGGCTTTAATGCCCGAACATGGTTTCAACAGAATGGAGCAACTTCCCATACCTCCAATACTGCTATGCCCGTTATTCGTCAACTTTTTCCAAACAAAGTTATCTCTAAGAGAGGAGACATTTCCTGGCCACCACGTAGTCCGGATCTGACTCCAATGGATTTTTTTTTGTGGGGCTACCTTAAGGCTAAAGTGTAACGACTCTAACCCGCGGTCAATTAATGACCTAAAAGAAAACATCCGCAGAGAAATGCAAGCATTTCAGCAGTGAAGTGCCGCGCAGTCATCGACAATTTCAGAAGGCGTTTGCAAAGTGCCGTGACTGTAAATTACATTTGGACGACGTTATTTAAAAAAAAATAATTCCCGTTTTTCTAGCTATATTTACAAATAAAAATATTATTCATAGTGTAATTAGTTTTATTTTAATTAATTTTTTTCATTACTAAGGACTTATGGGCCACCCTGTATATAGATTTTAACGGTTCAACCATGCGTCATGAAAATATGCATGCTACATGCATATATTTGATATCGAAAAAGGGAAAGGCAATTTTTATTTCTGTCACGCGGATGACTTGCACAGAGGAGGCAAATCTAGTAATTAAATATTTAAAAAAATGAATACGTTACCACAGGATCGGTGCAGCTACCAATAACGTTGCCAATGCCATCAGATAAAACTGTCACGTTAGACAACACCAGAACAAACATCACGAAACGATAAAACTCAGGAGGCTGCCCAGTCAGAAAGTATGAAGGAATGGAAAAAACAATGCTGTAAAATATCTGAAATAAATGAACAAATGTCATTAATTTAATATATTGTAAATTAATAATAATCATAAATAATTAACAATAATGTCTTCCCATTAACTTAAGCAGAAATAATGGAACGCCAAATGTTTCGATCTTTCGCTTTCTACACACTCATCATACTATTTATTCATACACGCTCACCGGTTTTGTTTATTTTTAATTTGACCTTATTTCAGCACGGCAGGGTAGTTCCAGGGCAGTCCTTACCGACATCTCCATTCATTCATGCTTGATTTATTTCGTAATTTTTCTTTCATACAACTTTACTTAACATTTACTATCTATCCATGCACATTTAACTCTTATTATACTGTCATTATTTATATCGGCTTTACTTATGTATTAAATACATACAATCATAAAGGCTCTTAATGAGTCCGAAAGTAGTTGGGCAAACTCAAAGTTAATACGTAAGTAAAGCCGATATAAATAACTTACTTCATCTCACGGTTTCGCCCGTGGTCGTTTCGAGATATTGAATAGGCTATAACCTTCATTAAGAAACAAGCTACCAAATGCCAATAATGGGGTTGCTAGTCCCCATTAGTAACAATCTTTCTCTCTTTTGGACTATTTTTTTCTAAATAGGTCTAAGTATCACAATGAAATGTTCACTAGGTAGTGTTATAAGAATAGTTATGTAGTAGGTACTAAAGCTCTAATAACACAAATGTAAAAAATCACAATTGTATATAATTTTGATGCAGTTGTTTAGTGTAGTTTTATTTGTACCTACAATATTGTTTTTTTACTTCTATAATTGTTGCTTTTTTCCCTTAACAAAAAACAAAGACTTGAATTTTTGTTCTTACACTTTGTTTCGACCTTTGTATTTTGTTTTATTTTGTATTATTAATTATTATTAAATTTGTATTATTTTCTATTATGTTAGGTATTTGTATAAGAAATCTGTATAGAAAATTTCATATTTCTATAGTAGTATCACTTTGCCTTGATCAGTTAGTCAGTCAGTTATATTATACTAGCAATCCACACACACGATGTTTTTTTTTAAATACTATCTTATTCGCTGATAATGTAGTTTTCTATAGGTGAAAGAATTTTGAAATAAGGTTAGGTATTTTTGTAAATGTTGGGACACTTGATAGGACACGACGAACTTATGAACATTTTAATAGAAGGCGAACATTTAAAATGAAGGAGAGGAACGAGGGACCAAGGCATAGTTATATCAGGCAGATCAAGGAAGAAATTGGTGTCGTGTCGTATCAAGAGATGAAGAGACTTCCTGAAAATCGTAGTGAGTGGCAAGATTTGCACTGACAAGAGTGCAGCTCTTAAATAGGAAATAAAAAAGTATTTCTGAGTATATTCATCACATAAAAACCAATTTTTTCTCTTTATAATATTTGTATAAAAGTATACAGACATTCATAGATGACAGAAAGAAATAGAATATTCTAATTTAATTAAATAAAAATATATATTACCTGCATAGGTATGCCGATGGCCAATGCAGCCGCATAATACGTTTTTAAATTGTACCAATTGTTAAAGTTTTCCTTCTTGAGAACAGCTAATTCTGATGGAACTAAAATAGAACAACAAGTAATAGGTACAACAGTGGTGTAATTAGTTTATGATTATTAGTATACTCATTGTCGTATTGAAAATTTTCCTAGTCCCTTAAGCAATTCGCACATTATGTACTCTCAGACATGTCTTTGCAGTCAAAAGCTCCGCTCGCATCCCACCATAAATACAAATATGAGTATTCTGTAATGTTCATGGATCTCGTGATCATGGAAACCACTTTCCATCAAGTGGGCCATCAGCTTGTTTACTTTTCTGAATTGCATTACAATAATTAAATAAAAAAAAGTTGTATTGTATTGTAAAATCTTTATTGTACACAATTTATATTGGATTAGATTTAGATTTAATATACAATGGCGGATTTATTCCATAAAGGGATCTCTTACAGTTAACCTTTGATAAGCTGAAAGAAAACTGTAGAATTTACAAGGGTAAAAACCGTACAGCTAAAGATTGGTTAGTTATTAGTCATTGACTCTTGTTATATATATATATATATATATGTACGTATTAATTTTATTTATATTTACTCAAGTATAGATATACCTAAAAACTCTAGATTCACATTCTCATACAAAATTATTGCAAAAAGTGTTATGAATTAAAAAGGAAAAAAAGGAGTGATGGTGATCGTAAATATGAAACTCGATGTTTCTAAGAACATTCCGAATACATCGCAATATACTCTATCAAGCCGACCTCCACGCAGTTCCTTCTGGAATCCATCGTGGTTAATTCTTGTGAAATTCATCATGGTGGATCAAATGACCTGCATTCATCTTCACATATCATTTCTCACTGGTGCCCCGTCAACGTATATCGATAGCGCAGATAGGGTTACCACCCCATTTACACTTTTTTTTATTTAATTGAATAAATCCTACACAATACATTTTTGACGCGTAATTTTTTTTTTATTTGTTCGTAAAGGCATTTTAATTGACAACTAGCATAGCTAATTATGACTCAAACAAATTGGCAATAAATACAAAGTAGTTAACATTTTATGCGATTACATAATGTGATTATTAACATACCGACCATATCACATCATAGCAAATACAAATAGGTGAATGTAATGTTCATACATTACTATGTATGTATGAACATGTACATACAATCACTTTATACTCGTCTTGTACAAGTAAATATTGTTTAAAAAAAATTGGTTTAATTCGTAGCGAAACCTGTTCTTTCGATTTAAAAATCGAATTACTGAACACACTCTGAAACAATTTCCGTGAGACTAATCTGAAAGTAATATCCTTTCAGATAAAAAGGTAAATTTCGATATAGGTTTCTAAGTATATACAACCGAATTAAGAATATCCTCCTTTTTTAATGACAGTTTTTTTTAATGAAAATGAAAATTTTATCAAAATAATTTTGACATGATACTATCATCTTAATTTTTTTTATACATATATTGTTAATCTTAGTAATCTGTATCATGTATTTATTCATTCATTTATCTTATTTTTAATTTAATTATATGGTTTAAAAGGATATGTGAATCTTGGTTTATTTTTTTATATCAATGAAGATCGTAATATCTTGTTCAGACAAATTAGAAGAAACACAATCATCAATTTATTTTCAAGTTGTTTGCACTTTGGATATTTTAAACGTTAGATAGTAACTAGCATTGTTTGTTAAATTATAAATACGTATATACAAAAGAATTTGAAAAAATGTAGACGGAAAATTAAATAATCTTCAACTTACATTTGAGCACCGCAGGCATAGCTGAAGTGTAGGCAAGGTATGTCAATGAGGTAAGTATGTAGCCCATGTTGCTCAATGTCTTAGAACCATCGCTACCAGTGTTGTCGAAGAAGAAGCCCAAGAAAATTCCGATCACCAAGTGTATTAATATTCTTAAATGTGTTGTAGTCTGCGGAAAAAAAAAGAATACATACAAATATATTGAAACTACGAAGTTGCAATGATAATTCAACCGTTCGATATTTTAATTACCTACTAGTATTTATAAAAAGGTATCTAAAACTTGTTTCCTTAGATGTCAATGTAAATAAAAAAAAATTAATAATTGAGTCACCCATAAGACAGTCCGCCGGTATTCAACGGCAATATGAATAAATAATCGATTTATTGCTTGTATGTTACGAATTGTTTTAGAGATAAAACATTTATTTTTTATTTTATACTTTATTGGACATACTAATATTACATAAAATGTACTTTGTACAACCTTGCCCCTGTCATAAAAGGTAAGCAAACGTATAAAGGCTAGCTTAACTTTACAAGATTTTTTTTCCAGTAAATCCAAAGTGGAGAAGAGTATCAATGTCAGCGAATACCATTAAAGACTGTTTCTGGGATAATATCAACAAAAATTGTTTAACTTTTCTCTAAGTTATATTAACAGTTTCCCGCGATTTTGCTCGCGTGAATCAGTATATATATTATACTATGCTTTAAGTTAGGATATAGCCTAAGTGTGTACTAAAATTAATTCCAATCGGTTCAGCCATTTAAGCATGACTATACATAAACGTTCCAACATGTTTACAAAATATTAGTAAGATTGAAACAGACTATTATAGTTACCCGCTATAGCTTACCCAGTCTCGATGTTGTTGTAATAAAAATCTCTTGGTAAGTATGAAGAATTTGTAAAGCTCATGAGGAGGACTGAGAATGACGTCAATTTTTTCACCAGAATCCTTTTCAGCTATAGTTGCGTTATTATTACTAGCTGTGGTGTGAACTTTTTCCAATTGACTACATTTCTCTGCTAGCATTTCGTTAAACTTTCCATATTCACCATTGGCTACTTCTAGAACTGAAAATTGAAATATATTTAATTATGTCAATTTCATCATCATCATCATCATCATATTAGCTGTTTACTCTTCACTGTTGAATACGGGTCTCCCCTTGTTGGGGGGCGGGGGTTGCCAATAGTTGCCACGCTTGGTAGGCGGGTTGGCAGCCGCAGTTAGACTTTGGTGATGTTTTAAGAGGAACGCTGCTGCCCATCCCTCGACCTTTAAGTTACCTTAGTCGCCTCTTACGACACCCATGGGAAAGAAAGGAGTACCCAATTCTATGCCAGGATCACACGACGCATTGTAATTTTGATTTTGATTAAAGATTTTGAGCTGTAAAAGGGGGAAGGGATTATTTTCTCTAATGGAAATGATAACCCCATTTGGGCTCTCAATATACACTGGCGAGGCACCAATAAGAGATGATATAAAACCAGGTCAGTTAGCCAATCATGACGAATGCCACAAGAATTAACTATGGTAGTTTTCACAGGGAACTGCGTGGAGATCGACCTAATATATTGCTAGCAATGGAGCTATTAGATCCCGTTATCAACAATTCCTTTCCACAAAGAAGAGATTGTTAGTAATCCTGTCAGGTCGACCTCCATGCGGTTCCTCTTAGAAATCATCGTGGTTAATTCTTTATGAATTCATCGTGATGGTCTAATTTAACTAATTTTATCCTCACCATCATCCCTCAGGGTATCTCGTCAGTATGTATCGTTAGCGCAGCCAGTGCTACCTTTCAAAACTTTTAAATAAATGAATCAATTATCCATTTATATAAACATAGGTATAGTTATAAATTTGATGTTGTGTTTCGTAAAGCTAATAAAAATACCCTTTATTAATCTAATCTAATCAACCATACATCCAGATACATACTATAGTCTGCAGGATTATGGTATTTGGGGCATTGTAGACCCACCGACGCCAGATACGGCACTGTGTTATCACTCGGGCCGCGGAATACACACATGCCTTCTGCTAATATGTAGACCTGTCGTAGTAATACAATAATTTTAATTAACATATATCTTATGAGTGTAATCTTTGCATATATTAATCTCTTAGATTGTATAGATAGAGTGTCTCCATTCGAGTACGAATGCTACGAGAAAAGCGGGTCAACTTTTTCATACAATTTTGCGTGATAAATATGTAGTTATGAGAGATTCCTTTATAACTTCTATATTTATTATGTCTTATAACTTCTGCATCTTTTAATGCGTAAATGCTTATTTTATTTATTAAATAATACATCAAGATACATTATGTGCGTAAGTATATAAAACTGCTAGACAAAAGTTGACCTGTTTTTGTTTAATTCCTTGTTTTAGCGTTTTTGAGACTCGAAGTTTTCGAGCTCTATTTATATAATCTAAGATTAATTTGTATTATAATTAATATTTAGATATAAATTGACAAATCGGTTATATATAAATCGTATAAGTGCTTAATATGAATTATTCCTTGTGATTGCGTTCGCTCTCACTCGATTTTTTGTATAAAACCCTGTATTTCTAAAAATCATACACTAAAAAGCAATTAAGTTTTCAGCATACATTAAATGGGTAGCCACAGAACAAGTAATCCTTTAAAAGACTTAACACGAAGGCGGCCTTATAGTAAAATTTTATACACCCACAGATACACTATTATAATATCACAGTATAAAGAACTCCGTACACTGCGATAATAATACTAGTAGTGTAGTAGTACAACTCTTACTAAGCACTTTATTTCATTAGTTAAAAACTCTATTTAAATAGGTACATGTTACAACTTGTGCATACATATTACTTATCAATTTTTAGCTTTAAATTATCAAACTGAAAATATTGCACTAGTTTTTTATGCAACTTAGAATGGCAAATAAGCTGACGGCCCACCTGATGGAAAGTGGTAAGCGTCGCCTATAGACATGAGCAGTACATTGTTTTAACAGAGTATACTGTTTCGTCCATGACACCCCTCATGCGTTGCCCTTCCTGAGGTCTCAGGTGTTATTCCTCTGTACCCTGTAAATTCACTGCCATTTCCCATCCTTCAAACAGAAACACAGCCATGTAAACACAACTGCTTCACGGTAGAAGCACGAATGGGACTGAGGTACCCAAGCAATCGACTTTTGTACAAAGTCTCCCTCTAGTGAAGTTTGTTTGGGAGTTATGTGTAAAGTGAGTATATCAAAAATCTTACCTGATCGAACATGGAATATATTGATGCCGAAGGCTGATGTATAGTGCACACTACAGTGCGGCCGCTTCGTGCTAGGCTCTTCAACATCTCAACGCATTGTATCGTTGTCAAACTGTCTAAACCTCTATAATCATAAAAAATAAAATTAAATTCTTTAGCTGCCCTGTTTTAATAGCGCAGAGATTTTTTTTTATATAATTTTGACATAGGGTTAGTGTTGCTCATTATGCCTAATAATAATAAACTAATAGATAAACGAGACAGAATATTAATAATAAACAACAAAGATTGTGGTATTAGTGATAGTTATCATCATATTAGCCTTTAACTGTCCACTATTGGACATAAGCCTTCTCCTTAAAGGGCTTAGGAGATGTTTTACGAGAGACGCTGCTGCCCATTCCTCGCTCTCGTTTACTCGATTCTTACGACACCCACGGGAATGGAAGGGATAACCTATTCAATGAGTGACTTAATAAGTGAGAAGTATTTGTGTAAGGTTATATCTACCACAGATGATATTACAGATTTACTAAGAAATAAAAAAAAAAATAATCCTTTTATTTTATCGAGAATACGTAGATTAAAAAAATTTACTTAATCAACTAGGCTGTAGGAACTGCGTTTCCTTTGTCTATATATTTCACAAGAGAGAAAAAAATATATAAAGTTTAATCATGTAGTGTACTTATAAATTTATTTTACTCTGTATCCATTGTAAGTTTTGGAACACAATAAAGTTAATAAAGTTATAATTGATCAGATCTATACCACTGAACCCTCCTGAGTCGCCTGCATTCATCGATTCACTGTTAACACCTTTAAGGTTGTCGATATACATACGAGGAATGGAGAGATTCTAAATAATTAAAAGTTTTATTTTTAAATTCGATAAAAACTCATGCTGAGTTCCCCTTTCTTTTTCCGTGGGTGTCATAAGAGGCGACTAAGGGCATTTAATGGTTGTGGAATGGGCAGCAGCGTTTTTCTCTTAAAACATCAACAAAGCCTAACGGTTGCCAACCTGCTTGCTAAGCGTGGCAACTACTCGTAAATGACCTCTTATGCCTGTGTGCAATAGTGGACAGTCGTTACTGATATGATGACGATAATGACGTGCTGATTTTATTTACCAAGTAAAAAAAAAAGATTATAAATACTAACGTAGTCGGCTCATCCAAAAAATAATTGGTGGATTGTCAATGAGTTCTAATGCTATAGACAACCGTTTCCTTTGTCCCCCTGAGAGGAACCCTGATCTGGTTTGCCTGGTGTGTGATAGTCCCAAGGTTTCTAGGATATCATTAATCTGTGAACAATGTGTAAATACATTAAGTTAAATATAAACAAGAGATCTAACCGGTTTGACATTCCCAATTACCTATCTCATAATTTTGATTATTTTATTTTCATTTGTATAAAGTACCTATAGATTTGAGGTCACAGAGATTATTTATGACTTTTATTTTAAATACATACCTAAATACAGACTTTATGTAATGTCGGAGTAAGATAGATAGATAGTTTATTTGTATAATATCACACAAATAATACCAAACACAAATAGGCATGCACAAAAAGAGAGAAAAAAATACAAGACAAAAATAGATAAAAATGTAACAAAAAAAATTGCCACAGTAACGCAATGGCATAACTCAGTTTATTGCTTCGCGCTCAAAAGAGCAAAATAGTGATTTTCTTTTGTAGCGAATTCTGTAAGAAATGAATGTGTTACTATTAGTTTTTATCCCCAGAAACTCCTGAGAGGATAAATAGGTAGACGGATAACTCATAGAGTCTCTACTAATAGTAATCAGGTTTCAGTATTCTGTATCAAATGTAGTCGCATAGAAATGGTAGCGGAATTGAACAAAATTATTATAATTAACTGACCTATCTCAGGACATTGTAAAAGGCGACTAACGGAATGAAGCATAATATACCAAAACAGGAAAAGGCGAATAAGAAATAAAATCCTAATGCCGCGCTGGTAAGACGAGTTTGTAAAGGGTTTATTTTTATGTTTTATTATTCCACTCCTTGCGCTTACGCAAGCTCTTGGTACGAATAACTAAGCGAATCACTTCATCATTTCTATATGATCAGTTAAGAGTAGAATTCTCCTCCGGCATCTATGACTTCTCGATTATTTTAATATGGAGTTTTCATGCGTAACCGCAGACCTCATCGTCACTTAACATCAGGTGAGAATGCAGTCAAACGTTGAGCTAATCTAATAACAATTGGTAGAGCCGTTAAGGGCTAAAAGTTAATAAACACACTTTCACATTCACAATATTCGTAAGGAGATCATTTATGTTATTTAATGACAAAAGTGGAATCACAACTCATAGTTTGAACCCGAAACTAGTAATTATTTAAACGTACCACAGATTGCTTTATCTTGTCGGTGAGACCGTTACCAAGTTTCATATCGGCCGCGAATTTCATGTGCTCGGCGACTGTAAACAGCGGATCTAGTCTGTCATCTTGCAATATGTAACACGATTTCTTTCTATATTTTTTTAGAGCTTCTGTTGGGTTCTTGTCCTTTCCAAATTCGCATACATGTTCGCCGCCGCGTATCGTACCCGTTACGCCTTTGGTCCTGTAATTAATGATGTACTCGATTGAATTACTTTTGTAAAGGCAAGAGACATTTTGTTAGCACACAATTTTTTTTTTGCTTGCCATCTAGAGATGGTCTCACTTTTAGGTTAGACGAGAGATAATACTTGCGATGAATTTTAGTCCTATCTTAATAAAAGCCATAAAATTGCATGCATATGTGTTATATATATATATATATATATACATACATATATATATATATATATATATATATATATATATATATATATATATATATATATTCGTATGTATGTATAGTACCGCATTCGGGTATTCTGATGTGCGAATAAGCCCTATGGTTGGGCTGGGACTTGGACTGGGAGAGAATGCTTTTAGCATTAAGTGCGTCATGTACACATATATGTACTAATGAATAAATAAATAAATATGTTCATCGTCTGCTCAGTACTTTATACTAAGCATGGGCAATATGGATATGAATCCGATATCTATATATTGGGTTCCACAGAACACTGATGGCGGAAAAAAGTTTATCGCCCATTTCGATATAGTCCATATCGGTCGGATATCTATTTTTGAAAATGTTAAACATCTTGCTATATATTATTCACCCCTATTTTATACTAATAAGTGCCACAAAATCACACGAATTGCAAGTTTCTCGAGCTAGGTTACTCTATGTTATAAGAAACCAGGCGAACGTTTAGAACTCCAACCAAGAATATCAAGACCCGAGCCAATACAGAAGAGTTTGTTTTCTAATTAGGCCCGACAAGGAATAGACTTGAGACTTAATTTATACCTCAGTTTTATACATAGTAATGTGCTCACCTCTGTGCCACGGAAGTTGTTAATCATTTATGATTGTATCTAACGCATTAAAGTGGTGGAGAGGAATTGTTAGTAATGGGGACGTTTATCCACATTGTCAGCAATATACTCTGACAGATCGACCTCCACGTGGTTCTCCTTGGAAAACATAATGATTGATCCTAATGGAATTCATCACGATGGGCTTTTTTGTGCAATTTATAATGGCAAACAAGCTGACGGCCCACCTGACAGAAAGTGGTAACCGTCACTTATAGACATGACCAGTACCATGGTCATAATAGAGTATACTGTTTCGCCCATGATACTCCCCATGCGTAACTAATTGTTCTGCTCATCCTCACCTATTAACTCTCATTGGTGCCTCACTAGCGTATATCGAATGCACATGCGAGGTTACTATTCCATTTATCATCCATTAAGAAAACCCCACCAAAGATAAAAAAAACGCCAGCATTACGTATTAAAATTGTGTACAATTGTTTAAATATAAGATTTCCTGTTAATGTCACCTATCATGCTGTATGCACTTATATCTGGCCTTGCAACTTGTCATGATACACATAGTCTGTATTGATGGCGTTAAATGTTTTGTTGTAAAGTTGTCTAATAAATATCGGCACCGTACCGTCAAATGTATATACATTAAAGTATAAATAAATAAATAGAATAAAAATAATTATTACTTACGAGAAACCAGTAAGAGCATTCAGAAGCGAGGTTTTTCCAGCACCCGAGGGTCCCATAATGACTGTAAGTTCCCCTGATTTGAATAACCCAGAAACACCATGCAGTATCGTTTTCTCTGAAACAAAAAAAAGAAAAAGAAAATAGAGTAATAAATATACATAGAAATAAAACCTTAAATAAATGATCTGTCTCATTCTGTCTCGTACATATACATTGCGGAACTACGAGTAGGTATATGACTAAAAATATTATAATCAAAAGTCGATTGCTTGGGTACCTCTGTCCCATTCGTGTTTCTACCGTGAAGCAGTTGTGTTTGCTTGGCTGTGTTTCGGTTTGAAGGGTGGGATATGGCGTGAATTTACAGGGTACAGAGGAATAACATCTGAGTCCTCAGGAATGGCAACGCATGGGGGGTATCATGGGCGAAACAGTAAACTCTGTTATGTCCATGGTACTGCTCATGTTTATAGGCGACGGTTACCACGGTTTCCGTCAGGGTGGGCCGTCAGCTTGTTTGCTATTCTAAGTTGTATATAAAAAAAAATATCTATCACGTACATATACATCGCGGAACTACGAGTAGGTATATGACTAAAAATATCAATGAATTATTAATTTGATAATTATTATTATAAAACAAGAAACTTGTCGTTGAAGAATATTTTGTATATAAATGAAATAATAATATTTACCTATTGTAAATAAAAAGTGGTAATCGCTTTACATAAAGTGGACCGTCAGCATGTTTGCCCTTCTAATATCATAAAGAAAATTATTCAAATACAGAATAAATACTGATTTTCTTATTGCTTAGTATTCTAAGAAAAAATTACTGAATTTATTGTGAAGATAATCGTTCTTTATTATATATATTTATTATATAATAAAAAAAGATTTTATTTTATAAATTTATTATATATTACATATATTTAACTCCGACTCATTCTGGTCAAGCGTATTCAGACTTTTGTCGTGACTGCAATTAGATTATAGAAAACACTTCATCATAAAATTAAAAATAGCCCGAGCATTGTGATTTTCAAATCGCGTCTGAAGAATTATTACCTCTCACAAAGCTGATGTACGTACTTATTATATTTGTATACCTGTCGGTTTTTTTCAGTTGTATAGACATTTTATTGGTATATTTTTAACTACTTATTTTTAACTTTTAAGTCGATTGATACACATGTATGCCTGTAACTGCGAATAAATTGTCAGTTTATTTCAATTTGGATTTTCTGGAAGAAATCTCTTTTAGAGATAAGCTCGTCCTTGTGCACTACGTTATGTCTAATTGTTATTCTGATACAATATCATTTTGTGTATAATAAATAATGAAAAGTAAAGATAAAGTGTGAAAAATGTTTGTATTTAATATAGTTTTGACGGAATGTAATATAAAGTGCATAAAAACTTAGTATATCAAACAGTACTTACCTACATGAGGTATATTTAAAAACGTAAGGTCAAGTCATATGTGGATCTTTAAATTATATTGAATATTATCTTAATAGGTATCATGTTAATTAATTATAAGTGTGCGATAAACTTTCGGTGCATAGTAGCCGCTTATCTGTAGCTAAACTTATATTTTAATTAATTACTGGCAGATTGCGGGATCCGTTCTTACATCTATATAAATATATTTACGTCCAGCTATACTTTTACCGGACAAGACATTGTACAAGATTCGTCTGCATCTGTGACATCTGCTTACTTGATTCGGTTTAAAGAGTGGGTATATGGCAATGAAATCACAGGATACAGACGCATATTATAATGTGTCTTTAAAAGTGGAAATAGGATTTACACATTTCGCTTTGCAACAAACTTTATTACGTATTACGTAATTAATATGGGAGTAAACGTTATCAATTGCAAAAAGATTCATCGTAGGTTAAAAAATGGCTTCGCAGTCGCGTACGTAATCGACTCTATATTCAAATTTGAGATTTTTTTATTTACTCATACCAGTACGGAATTCTTGGTATACGAGTTTCGTTCGCGCTTGACAAGTTTTTTATCTTATCAGCATAATATGCAAAACCGTTTCAAGGAGAAAACCTTGAATAATTAATTAAGTTTTACGCATAGATTCGACACTGAAATAACAATATTAACTCCAGGAATGATTATTATGTTTATTTCAGAATATAATAGGTATAAAGTAAAATAAAAAAATAGAATGACGTGATTTATTCACAATAGATGTGATTGTTAAATTGCGCAAAAGATTTTTACAGTTTTTTTTTTACAATACAGGGTACAAATGAGTATGCGGCCCACTTGATGGTAAGTGATTACCGCCGCCCCTGAGCATCCGTAACAACGGAAGAATTGCTGGTGTGCTGCTTTTTTCTTTAAAATTACAATGTTGTTTATGGCTGAAATATTTTTTAAACCACTTCCAAAAAGAGGGGATTTTTAGTTCGTTTACATTTTTTGTAACAATATTACGCCATTATATCTTTAATTCTGAACCAAGGTTTACAATTACTCTAATACTGAAATAAAATGATTTTAAAGAAGTCAGTAAAATATTAAAACAAGTCACAATTATTTTTGTAATCAACACGGTTACTTTCTTGTTAGTTTGAGATGATTGAAGCTGCCGTTTTTCTTTGCGGAGCGAAAAATGTTTACATATAAAAGTCTATAGGGTACTTTACCGTCGGCTCCACAATTATTAAATTATATTGAATTAGTTCTACATTAAAATATTTTAAATGTTTTGTGTACGCATGCGCGTGCGCATGCGCTTGATTAGATTGCTAGTAATTATCTTTGGCTCCTTGATCACTGTCAATTAGATAACATGTAGGTACATTTAACATTATATTTAGATAGGTAAGGGCATCACTTGATATCGTGTAACAATTACTGTAACGCATATTTAGACTAGTGTTTGATTGTTGTGTAATTATGTTAATATACTATATATATATATTGTTATTATATATTACATAATTTTATCCTTACTTAGATGCAAACTGTATATTGGAAGGTATTTTTTTTTATAGACGATAATGAAATGGTGACCCCGCCTGCGCTAACGGTATACGCTGGCAGTGGGAGATATTAAAGTGATGAAGATGAAAAGGTCAGTTAGCCCATCGTGATGAATACACCTGGAATTCAGCACGATGGTTTCCAAGGGGGATGTGGAGGTCGACCTGACAGGGTATAGTGATAGCAATGGGACTGGTAGTCTGCATTACTAACAATAACTCCCCTTCCCCCCAAATTGGAAGGTATTTATAATATATACCTACAAATGAGACTAAGAAGTGTATTTAGGTAATAGTCAAACCCCCCCCCCCCCCCGATCCATCGGATACACGGTAAAACTAAACAATCGTAATGTTGTATCTGTATTATGTATAAGCATGTTATAACCATATAATAAAAAAAAAATCGCAAATTAAAAGATACGATTTCATTACCATTAGATAATCTAGGGATTTTTACGACGCTCCATACATACAAATCTGTTCAGGCATTTAGAAGTTATGGTGGAATAAAGAGACACACAAATATGAACCCTTTATGTGCAGTCACGTAAAAAGCCATATTAGGACTTCTCTTTACTAATATAATACGACAGTGAATTTGTTTGTGGTTCCTGCTGCGGTTCCTCCGCGGTTCTCCCTGGAAACCATCGCGGTTAATTCTTGTGGATTTGTCGCGGTGGGCTAACTGATCAGAGGGCCTACCATGAAATATTTTCCGAAAATTCGGAGCCAAAGGAAACAGAAATTTGATGTTAAAATTACATAATACATGCCATTTGGAAATATTAAAAATGTTAAAACATTGTTCCTTTGGACTTTTATGATAGGATGATGACGAACGAAATGTTAAATTCCATTTATTGGTCCGATTTTGGTATAAACAAAAACACAAAATTGAGTCCGAAATTTCGGAATTTCATTTCATGGTAAACCCGCTGTTTTGATTCTCACTTATCATCAGTGCCCCGCCAGTGTATACCGATAGCGCAGTCGGGGTCACTATTTCATTTTCACCTATTAAAAAAACCAAGAAATAAGTAGGCGGTGCATTATTAAATTGAAGGAATATAAACATTAATACTTAATATATTCACATATTATAAACATATAATTAGACTAAACATATAAATAATCTGTTTAATAAATAAATATATACATACATAAATATTACTATAACAAACAATTAACTGTAGAAGAGTAAATGACTTAAACAAAGTAATCAGTAAGATGAAGTTTAAAAGGAAAGAGATAAAAATAAATAAAAAGGACTAAAAAAGTATTTTTAATAGATAAAAAAAGATTTTCTAAATTGGTTTATAAATAACGGAGTTCTGAGGTGAAAAACATAGTAAATCCAAATAGAGAACGTACTCTTTTTATTAAGTCGGTTGAAAACTAAAAATATAACGTTATAAATTAATATAATCGCAGCTTGTTATCTCCCCTCCCCATAGATAACAATATTATCTACAACTTCTACATACCCCTGAACCGAATCTATGCCAATTAATTAGTGAATGACAAAGTGCAAATCATGGCCTTCCTAGTGCAAGTGTTCGACTCGCTGAAATATAATAATAGAAAATATAATGTAGGTATCATTACTAAGGTTATAAACGGTATAGGAAATGAGTATATCAAATATACAACCAAATGTTTAAACGTCCATATATTTTAAAAAGAATGACAATTTTCAATTTATACTGCGCGCGCAACCTCGCATGCGCTCTGTTATTTATTATTTATTTTTCTACAGAAATTCAAAAGGTTTAGTTATATATAAAGGTTTGTTATATATACAGTATATATATATATATATATATATATATATATATATATATATATATATATATATATATATATATATATATATATATATATATATATATATATATATATATATATATATATATATATATACGCCACAACGGTATGACTGTTTGTTATCTCTTGCTAAATTCATTAAAAATTAATCATCATCATAATTTTAGCCATTATCTGTCCACTGCTGGGCATAGGCCTCCCCCATAGACTGCTATAAGGAACGGTCCTGAGACACCTGTATCCACTGACTCCATGCAATGCTTTTCAGGTCGTC